TAAAAAGTGCTGGATGTTGTTGAACAGTGATTGAAATAACTAATTCATACTGAGTGTAATGTAAAGAAAGTATTAAATAGGCCATGAGATGACATAGAAATGAGGATGAATAAATTTAAATACAGGTAGGTCTATAGTATTATGAAGGTATTAAAAGGTAAAAGGTAAAGTTGTTCCTCTGCTCAACGAATTAAGCCCTACGCCATTAAGGCGTGTGGGGGAGTGGATGTATAGATCCAAATTTTCTTGACCTCGGCACTAGTTGGAGGTGAGTGGTCAGCTTCACGCCCCGGCCGCTTTACCCCCGGGGAAAGAGCCCCCGGTACCCATTGGATAGGAGGTTGGATGGACCCCAGAGCCGGTCTGGACGATTTGGAGAAGTTAAAATTCTTGACCCTACCGGGACTCGAACTCCGACCCTTCACAGTCGTCCAGCCCGTATAATAAAATTTGGCTTAACCGGGTTTTCGATTAACCGTGACTTCCATCCCCACCATTAGCCCGGATAATCGAGAGTTGACTGTAGTGGAATTCATATTTGATGTTCCTTGATTTAATGTTTTCTTTCATTATGTTAAAAGTCATTATAGAACAGGCTGTATGTAGGCCTATAAAATCATAATATAATGAAAATAAAATGATTCAAACTTGAGATAAAACAAACTCAGTTAAAGGAAACTGCTTACCCTTATGACATGACCTTAGATACTGTCATCTGAAATGTGTGCAACATGCCAAAAAATGCAATTACTTTTCGTTCTTCATCATGAAGTTATGACATCAGTTTTTTATGCGCGTATGTATTTCTGTTAGTGTACCTTCTGACTCATATTTATACGAGTTGGAATGCGGTCCTTGGGCTAGGTATTATTTCTACTTTCATGGTCTTCCTCAGTGCTGCCAATCAAATTCCATCATACTACATAAATACAGTCTCAATCATTTACTTCCACATTTCTTTCGTTTCACAATCATAATCATACCACTGTTTGTTTGAATTCATTGATTCAGAATTTTACACAGCCCAGATCTGTAAGTATTGATCCCAAAACTTTGGGTAGCGCCCTATCAGAGACCAGCGAAGGGTTCAAAGGGGGTCACATAAGATCATAATAAATATTTTAAAACACTCAACATTGATTAGAAGGGTGGTAGGGGAGTAGTGAATTTGCCCCCACCTGGAATCTGGCCTAGTCAGAAAATGCAACATTGAAATTAAAGATGGTAGAAGTCACTGGCCACCAAACTTGCCTGGATCCATCTTTTATTTAAATAAGTATCCACTATATGAAGTTACTAATACAAACATTTTGCTGTATTTATAATTAACAAGTCAAGAAGTGAATACATAGCATAACGATTTTGGTGTATTTGGTATTTTTAATTATCTTGGGAACTGTAAGACTTTCACAGTCTATGGGCTGGACAGCTACGGTTCGATTCCTGGCAGGAGCGAGATTATTCTCTTCTCTACATCATCCAGACCGGCTCAGGGGCCACCCAGCCTCCTGGCCAGTGGGTACCATATTTCTTTCCCTGAAGGTAAAGTGGTTGGGGAATGAAGCTGACCACTTACCTCTATCAATTGCTGAGGTGAAGAAAGATGGAACTATACCTCTACTTGAAGAAAGTCATCTTCTGGGTTTAGACGCCGTGTATTCTTCATTTTGGCCGATGTTTCGGAGGAACGTATCGCCTCCATCTTCAGAGCAGTTGAATGGCTTGGAATGCAGAGAGCAGTAGCTGTATAGGAAGTGAAAGGCGCTGCTTATATATAACCTCTACTTCTCCATATGTCTTCATGGCATGATGCTTAATGAATTAAGCAAAGGGACAACTTCACCTCACCCCCCTTCAAGATTCAATTTCAGTTATCCAAAGACAATACTCAGCTCTAAATTTCTTCCATTCACTCTCCTCAGTGTAGTGTTCAAATCCACTGTTCCCCAAAGAAACCTTAAACTTGAATTTCATTGTATGGGTTTCTTTCATTACCTATCATCTTGACATATACAGACTGTTACATGCTCAGAGAAAATACAGATAAAAGCAGTCTTCTGGGATTTGGCACCGTGTATAAGTGGTGTTAATCGACGTTTCGGAGGAATGTATCGCCTCCATCTTCAGGGTAGAAGAAAAAGTATAAGAAATCTGCAAGCGACAAGACTGTGAGAACGGTAAAAGCTCACGGTCTTGTCGCTTGCAGATTTCTTATACTTTTTCTTCTACCCTGAAGATGGAGGCGATACGTTCCTCCGAAACGTCGGTTAACACCACTTATACACGGTGCCAAATCCCAGAAGACTGCTTTCTTCATAGTCACCGCCGTGAAAGCCTCAAATCTTACAAAATACAGATACTTCATTGAAGTCTTTCCTTACATTGTCTTATAAAACTGTTTGAATTCAGTGTAAGTTTAGTTATATTTTAACCATTTTATCAAAATGATTACTCCATTTATCAACTTGTGCTTTCAGGAACTGGATGGTATTCTGGAGGATGCACAGGTTGACTGCAGACAACTTGAAGATGATTTAAAAGCAACAGAAAAAGAAAGAGATGATCTTGATCTAAAGCTTGTGGAAAAGGTAAGATGTGAATGAAGGTGATTCTTCTTTTACAATACTAAATAAAGAATATAGATATTAAGAAAAAGGCAAGAAACTTAAACTGCAGATCATTATGGTTTGCATCCTGCTGTATGTTTAACAATCGTGTAAATTGGGCCATCAGCACAATGCAAAAGTCTCTTCAAGATGAAGATGAAATAGATACTATTGTATCACTATTGTTTATTTGTTATTCAAAGGTGTATGCTACATGTTTCAGCATCTTCTAGGTCATCATCAGGCAAGTTGCAAGAGAAACTAAATTCTTGAATTGAATTCCCTTACTATGAATCAATATTTTACAGTCTGGTGTTATTGTTATAGCAAATACAGCTTTTGGAGAATGTAAACTGATAATATTGTCACGTGTTGGGTATGTCACATGACAAATAACTTCATGTGGGTCTCGGATTTAGCGAATCTTTATTGGACACTCAAGCTTACACACCTTACAGTTATTATTACTTGCAGTATTGCTTGACTTCTCTCTCTTCTTCTGTGTTTATACTGTCCTTGGACGTGGCTGGATCTCAACTGTCTTCGGCGACAGCTATCCCAATACTAACTTGTCTTTTGTCGAAGCTGGGCTTTTATAGCCTCGGCAGTTGCTATGCAATGAACCCTCGTTATAACTGTGGAGACTCATCTCTGGGGAGATTTGGCGTTCTCTACGCAACGGCTCACTGTTGGCATTACAATACCGCTGTTGTTACTTCTTATGCAGTGGTCTCTTCTAGCGTTTCCATGGTAGTATCTCTTCTGGATTCCAAACGTGGCAATATATACAAAATCCTAGTGTTGCGCTCTTGTCTCAAATTAAAAATAATTAAAACCTATTGTAGTAGGAATTTTATTATTTAGTATTAATAAATTTCTCTCGTAACTTGCCTGATGATGACCTATAAAAGGTCAAAACATGTAGTATACATCTTCACATAATAATAAACAATAGTGATACAGTAGTATCTAGTTTGTCTTCATCTTAAAGATAATTTTATGTTGCATTGACGGCCCAATTTACGCGATGGAACTGCAGATACTGATTGCCATGTTCCTTCAATTTGCCTTTCAGGTAACATTTGATAGAACATTCACATTTATCCGAAAATATGTTTCATTTGACAGCACATCATATTAGCATTACAGTGATTAAATGGCCATTTGACATAAGTGCATGGAATATTTTAAGCAAGATAATCATTTAATTTTACTACTTAACTTACTGTGCTCATATTTCTAATTTCTGAAGCTTATGCTTCTCCAGTTCGTAATAACCAACACTCTCTTTGGCTGAAATTTGATATTCCCTCTAATAGTTCCCCAAACTCCATTAATATCCACTTCAGCGTCTAAGTTTTCCAAAGCTGTGAACCTATTTGAGATTTCAGCGCGATACTGCACTTTGCCCTTTACCTCGTTTAATTTCTTGAGATTGAGCCTCTCCATATGAAATCTGTGTGTTTTGTTTACTCACTGCCAGTCCTTCCCTAGCTTTAGCGACTGCCAGGTAGTGGTCAATATCACAATCTACTGCCCTAAATGATCAAACATCAAGCATACTGGAACGGCATCTCCCATCAATCAAAATATGGTCAATTTGATTGTGACTCTTTCCTTCAGGCGCTGTCCACTTAAAATTATGAATGTTACAATGTAGAAACATACTTTTGACAGTCAGATTTTTTGATATGGCAAAGTTTACTACTCCATTATCATTACTAATTTTGTGCAAACTCTCATTCCCAATTGTTGCTTTGAAAATTTCTTCCCTACCTGCTTTGGCATTGAACTCTCCCAGCAAAATTTTCATATGGTATTTAGGAAATTTATCAAATAAATATTTTAGTTCTTCATAGAACCTGTCCTTCACATTGTCAATTTTATGCTCTGTTGGGGCATGAACATTCAGAACAATATCACACCAGTGACCTCTTAATATTGTCTATGACATCCTATCACTAACAAACTCTACCCTCTTAACTGCTGATGTGATTCTTATGTATGAAAAAACCTGTACCTAATTTATGATTCTCATTCCCCTTTCTTTAGAAAAATGTATAATTGCCTGCTGGCTCAGTGCCATCTGTGTCCCATCTGATCTTTAGTCTCACTAAATCTGACTTATTTTGATATTGATATTGGTATATATTAGATGTAATAAAAATGTTCAAGATTCTGAATCCTGTTAATGAACATGGTTATGTATTTAGTGTATTTGTTTTATGTAGGAAAGTGATCTTGGGCACAGCCTTGATGCTTTGAGTGATAAGCAGCGCATATTGGACAAGCAGTTGCTCAGTCTTGATGAAAAGGATGAACACATAGAAATTTTGGAAAAGAAACTAAAAGAGGTTAGTCCAGAGTTACATGCAAATTTAATTCAGTTAATTACACCCGACCAGTGTCAACTGAATGCACAGTGAATCTGAGTCTACCAGCAGATTAAAGGCCAAAGAAGTAGTTGCCAAAAAGAAGTAATAAGTCAAGTTCCTTTCCAGATGCTGGTGCAATGTGTATAATGAATGAAAATATCAGATTTATTTCTATATGCCACTTGTAAATACCAAGTTAAGAGACAAAGACCAGTCTTCCACTCAATGTGGTGTCATATGTTGAAGTGTTTTTGCAAGTAATGTGTTGAAGATACATTATAGATGTTAGATAATATGGCCAGTGTTTTACAACAGGCATTTAGTTAGTGTGTCACTATTTGTCTTACTAAATCTTATAACAGACAACATAACTAGAACCACAGAAACAGTCATAAGTACTGGAAAGAATGTAAAAGAAAAGGAATACAGCCTTCAGAGTGTACATCATTTAGATTTGAGTGTGGTATCCACCCTTAAAATTGTGACCACCAAATGGCAGCTTCCCTAACAAGTACAGTTTCATAAGCAAACAATTCAGCTGTTATTTTTTTCTTGTTTATTTTTAGCTGCATGAGAAATATGATAGTGATATGAAAACCATGACAACGAAGACTGAAGAATTAGAAGAAAGGCTGAAAACATCGTTGATGGACAATAAGTTGCTGAAATCAGAGGAAGAAAATAACACTGAGAATGTGCACACACTTCAATCAGAAGTGAGAGAACTGAAAAATAAATTAAAGGTAAATCACAAGACTACAGTGAATTTAATAAGAAATATAATTGCAGTTTTTATGAATGTAGTCTTCTATGTTGCAATATGTGCATTTGCAGGAGGGTATCAGCTTTCGGAGAAATGTAATGCCTCCATCTTCAGTTATTTCTGCTCTGAAGATGGAGGCCGTATGTTCTTCCAAAATGTTGATGTGCACTTATCAGACTACACAGTGTCATAAACCAGACAGCTATAGAATGAGTCTTTGCCACAGGGTAAACCTCAAATCTCACATTCTATTCGTTTCATGAGGAAAGTTTATTCCATGATGTAATATCTGCATCTGACCTGCCTTCCAGTAACTTCAGAAATAATGGATGGATTTTCATTGAACTTCGTATGAGTATCATTCCACTAAAGGGTACTTCGACCTATGTTATTATAATTTCATGTTTATAATACTGACATGCTGGCCATGTGAAATTGTGAGGCATGTGTGAAAATATTGCCACTTAATATAGGGCCTTGAAATTATGCATGTAATAGATATTTTAAAAGTATTAAACTTATTTTATGGAAGGTCCCTCCTTCCCTAGATTACCTATAGGCTGGGAAGAAGTTATGGCTGCGCTGTGTATATTAGATGGTGACATATAATCAAATGACAGGCACGCTGTGTATGTCAGCATTGAAGAGTTAAATTAAACATTTTGTATGGTTTGTAGTGAAATACTGTAACAACTTCACACACTGTCTTTCTTGTTTTTCAAAGGAATTGTTTTCTTTATCATTCAGGAATCTGAGGAAAAATTGCTACAAGCAGAAGCAATGGAACAAACACATCAGAAAGGCAAGTGTGAAATACTGAAATGTTGCCATTCTGTCAGAAGCACAACTTCTAAAACCAGCTTGTAGTGTTTACCAGAAATTCTGTTCAGTTTGATTTATTATGAAGGTCATTACAACTGCTTAGTATCCACAAGGTATCTAATTCAAATTCCATCCAAGACTGGCTTTCTTTAACCCTTATACACTCAACACTGATCCATCACTGCATCAGGTAATGGCTAGAACACAAGGTGGTTGATCTGTCAGCTCTGTCTAAATAATGCTCTTTTAGCTACATAAATTGCTCAGAGGTGGCAGCATAGGATGGTACTTAATTCTCCAAGGTCTATTTCATAGTTCTGTACCCAGATGGTATCTCTCTTTGCTTAACTAAAAGATTTTTTTTTCTTAAACAAATGAAATATGTTAACAGATGATGGAAGGTGTACTAGTGAAATTAAATCCAGGATTGCCATGGCAAAAGCTGCATTTAGCAAGAAGAAGAATCTTTTTACCAGCAAATTGGACTTAAATTTGAGGAAGAAACTAGTGAAATGCTACATTTGGAGCATAGCTCTGTATGGNAGACAAGACAAGGAAGAAGATGTAAGATTTGAGGCTTTCACGGCGGTGACTATGAAGAAAGCAGTCTTCTGGGATTTGGCACCGTGTATATGTGGTGTTAACCGACGTTTCGGAGGAACGTATCGCCTCCATCTTTAGAAGAAAAGAATACAACAAGAAACTATGTAAGATTTGAGGCTTTCACGGCGGTGACTATGAAGAAAGCAGTCTTCTGGGATTTGGCACCGTGTATATGTGGTGTTAACCGACGTTTCGGAGGAACGTATCGCCTCCATCTTCAGGGTAGAAGAAAAAATATACAAGAAATCTGCAAGCAAAGAGACCGTGAGAACCGGTAAAAGCAGACGTTCCTCCGAAACGTCGGTTAACACCACATATACACGGTGCAAAATCCCAGAAGACTGCTTTCTTCATGTAAGAAGATGCTGGATGACCTTGGGGACAGAAGAGGATACTGTCATTTGAAGGAGAAAGCTCTAGATCGCATTAAGTGGAGGAATTGTTTTGGAAGAGACTGTGGACCTGTCGTCTGACAGATTACTGATGATGATGAAATGAAATATGTCAAGCACACATGTTTACTTGGTGGTTGAATGCTTTCTTGGTCTGTGGTTTTAGTTGTTTTACTGTAAATATATCATAGTGTAGTGAAGGTATTTTGTTTTTTTTAATAAGGTTAAATATTATTTATCATATTTTATTATATATTTTAGCATATATAGTTAGTTATTTTACATTTTTAACTAGACAATGGCTGGTCAAAGCTCTAGGTTAGATACAATTTGCAGTGATAGTGACTTCATTCCGGAAGATGACACTGATGGTACATGTGAAGTAGAAGAAGATACCACACCCCCAGCTGCTCACCCTATGTCACACAGTGAAGAGACTGACATGGATTATGAAGACTACAGGGAAATTGTGTCACCTGAGCAACGTCTCCCTCTTCCTTTATAACTCTGAGAATTGTCTGGACCTATATATATGCCTCCTCCTGATTCCACTCCTGTTGCTTACTTCCAGCTCTTCTTCACAGGCTTAATCCTTACCCTCATGGTGACGGAATCCAACAGATATATGCAGAAAGTGATTAGTAGTAAAGCGGGTAATGTTCCCACTATGCTAAAGAACTGGACCAGAATTACCATGCACAAGATGAAAGGATTTCTGGCCTGTATTATAAATTTGGCATCATCAAGAAGCCATCCATAATATCATACTGGTCCACTCTTTATTTGCAAGCCACCCCATGATTTGGGAAAATGTTTACCAAATACCACTTTTCCCTGCTTGCTGCACTTCTTCCACTTCATCAACAATGAAGGATTGCCAGGCCCTGGAGAACCAGACTGTGATCCCTGTGCATGGTACGAACCCGTTGTGGCCCATGCAAACATAGTATTCAGGCATCACTACACCCCTCATCAAGAAATTGGTATTGATAAAAGCCTAGAAGGTACCAGAAACAAAACCAGTCTCATGCAGTATTTGCCCAACAAGCATCACCATGGTTGGGGAATCACATTTTGGATGCTATGCCACTCTGTGTCCAACTACTGCTAGTTTTTTTTTTTTTCCAAGTAGAGAAGGGCCAGGTCTCAGGAAGATGAGGACAACGTCCAATAAAATGGCCTGGGATACACTGTCAGGAAAAAACTGCTTGAGATTGGAGGGTACCTCAAAAAAGGCTACCATTTTTTCTCCAACATCTATTTCATGTCTGTTTCACTTGTCTGTCACCTCCATTGGCTAAGCACCTACATCACTGGAACTGTTAGGAGGAATGGGAAACCTTTACCCCAGCAGTTCAAGAACACATTATGCAGTTGGACAAAAAATGTATTGCAGATCTGATCCCCTTCTCACATATTTCTTCCATGAGAAGAAATCATAAAAAAATCCTGTCGTTCTTCTCTTCAGCCATGCCACAGCCCAAGAAGAGGAGGTAAGGGGAACGCATGGTGGCAATCCACAAACAAAACCGAAAATCATCACATCCTACAACCGGTTTACGGGCAGCACTGAATCTTCAGACACTTATTTGGACGAAAGATGGAGTGTGTGTTATTGGAAAAGGGTAGCTTTCAATATCATAGCCAGGATGGTGGTGAATGGCTACATTCTGTACAAGGAAAACTACAGTGGGCCTGGCAAACTGAAATCGAGGTACCGCTACTCTCTGTCCGTAATTGAGAGCTTGGGGGGTGAGGAGTGGTTGGTGCTGAAGGACAATGCTGTAGCAGATGAACCTCGAGGACCACGAGGACTCAGAAAACTTCTTGAAAGGAAAAGGTCCCAATGCATTGTCTGCAGCACAAAGGCGAGGAGGTGGAAAGCCAGAACAGTATGCACCAGATGCAACAAGGAGCTGCATGGAGAATGCCTCCCTAAACACAGGTGCTAACTGCAAAAAAATACATATGCACTGTTATACATAATGTGATACAGTTCTGGACCAGAGAGCTCTTCATGCATAGAACATATCAAGATTTTACAGAAACGTATTCTCTTTCTTACAGGCTTAGCAACATGAAAAGAAAACTAAGAACAATCTAATTTTTGTGCAGTATCTTATCTCATTACTGATGTCTTCACTAGGCCCTTCTCTGGTTCCTAAATGCCAGTCTCCTTTGAACAAGTCTAAAAAGGCATTCTGTCTTCTGGGATATAAAGCCATGTAGTCTGCTGAAAGTCAGCAGTGCTTGGCTCTGCTTGGTACCTGCTTCATGCTGGTTCCTTGCTTGGCTTATTCCTTGACCTTGAAGTTGGAGGTGACATGTAAATTTGAAATGTTTGTTGACTTTCATCAGATTACATAGTGTTATGTCCCAGATATAACTTTTTGAACCTCACATCAGTGGTATACCTTGTGTATGACTTGGACTGATCTGTTCTCTTTCAGAAATTGAGAACTTAAATCATATTAATAATGAGTTGGAAGACAAACTCAGTGCTTTGGAAAAGGCTGAAAAGACTGCAATAAAGGAAATGATAAGTGCTCAGAATTGTGCAGAAGAACATCGTAAACTGCTGGAAGAAAATACTTTGTAAGTTACATAGAGATTTAGTCTGTTTTTTCTTTGCTTGTTCCCCCCTCCACTATATATATGTGTATGCACACATACTCACACATGCATGTACGTGTGTACATGTACGTATATGTGAGGTGTGTTCAAAAAGTTCTTGAAATGACCACATAGAGTAGCAGTACATTGGTCATGTTTGACGTTGTTTGAGTGACCTTGCAAGCTGACCGTTAGTTACGCAACCCCTTTGTTCCAGGGAGGCTGAATGTTCCATTTAGTTTTTATAACTGAGTTTGTGACTGAGTGTCATCTTATTGCTTTGATTATGGAGTCAATAAAGGAGTAAAGAATTTGTGTTAAATCCTGTTTCAAAATAAGGAAAACAGCTGCAGAAACCCACAACATGTCGTGTGAAACTTGTGACAGTGATGCCTTGAGTCATACAACGACCTAAAAATGGTTCTGATATTTTAAAAATGGAAGAAATTCAACGGATGACAGTGAGTGGTCTGACCAACCTTTGACTTGAAGATCCAAACCTCTGATTGTCCAAGTAAAAACATCTGTGGAAATTGTTGATTGTCTGGGAAGATGTTGCAGTGTCCATTAGTTCATGCCATACAATTTTAATGGAAGATTTAGAAACACATCAGGTCTCAGCAAAATTTGTGCCAAGACTCTGATGGTCAGAAACTGCACTGATTTTCCATCCATGAAAATGTCCAGATGTCATTATTGGTGGCAAGACATTGTTTTACAATTATGATGTTGAAACCAAACAACAATCATCACACTGGAAGAGTCCTGCTTCACCTCACCCCAAGAAAGCATGACAGGTGCACTCACAAGCAAAAGCAATGTTCGTGTGTATGTGTGCGCTCATGCGCATGCGTCTCAGATCAAGACTTTGTGCATTATAAATTCACTCCTGAAGATCAGACAATCAATATGTTTATCTGGCTGTTCTGTGAAGTCTGTGGGATGCGGTACAAAGAAAATGATCTGAAATGTAGGCTGTGGGAAGCTGCCTCTCCAATATGATAATTCACCTGCTCACAGAGCATTATAAAATACACAATTCTTGGCAAAACATTCTATTGCTACCCTTCCACGACCCCTCTATTCACCTGACTTTTTCTATTCCCTAAGCTGAAAATTACCCTTAATGGCAGCAGAAGACATTGATAATGTAATGAATGACTTGAAGGGGAGACCACAAACTTCCTTTGAACAGCGCTTCCAAAAGGAGAAAAGGCAATGGGAGAGGTACATTTGTGCACAAGGGGAATATTTTGAAGGAAATAATATTCAACAAGCTCTAAGTTGAGAAAGATATTTATAGAACAACCTCCTGAACTTGTTAAACACACCTCATACATGCAGAAATGATAGCCTTATACTTTCTTGGCATTGCCTGACTAGGAAAGATCTGTGAGCCAGAATCAGTTACATCCAGCAATTAATTTATTTTTTAAATGTATGTAATTTCAGAACATCACAGAAGGAAATTTCAAAATTAAAAACGCAACTGCAGTCTTGCATGGATAATGCAGAATTTGTACGACTACTGAAGGAGGAACTGGAGGGAAAATCATTCAAATTTGAACAACTTGAAAATGAAAATGAATGTCTAAAGAAATCCCTTGAAGTTAAGGTATGGATATGCAAACACTTCTTATATTTTTACATGTTGTCATGTGTTTGTGTGAATATAGACAGGGTTTGGATTAGTGATTTGATTTATCCATCACTTACAGATGAGTATGAGTATGAGGGGTGAGCCATAAAACTGGCCCTAGCACCGCCACCTTCAATGATCAATTGTGTGATAGTAACTAAAAGTAATTACAATGCTTTTGCTAATTCATGTGCTCGTCTTCTCACTACAGCTTGCATTGAGTCTTTTCAGTCTGCTTTGGCTTCACCAATCATTTCCTGGTAATGGCTTCTAATAGTGGGGATTCTTCAAGTGCACTGACCAAGTCTTCTCTTCACAGACTCCCTTACAACTGACAGCTGACTCTGTTACAACTAAACGTGTTTTGGTTATAACATCTTGGCTTGGACGGCATAGAAAACGCCATTCATTTTACTCTATTCATTTCCATGGGAACATGTTTATTTGCGAAGGAGTTATGCAGTAATTGCTGCATATACTTCCTTATTAGAATCGGTTGCCTAGCAGAAAATGTTTGGGTTTGTTTCAAGGTCATTGCCCAGTAACAGGTTTACATGCTACAGTATTAAGTGCAATGAAAATCTGCTATTATGAATATTATTTATGCTAAGTTCACTGTAATGAAAATTATTAATGCACTGTCATTTCATTTATGTAAGGTACAAGAAGAGTTCTTTCACCTACTTTTCTATTATCTGGATATGCACATGTCATATTTACCTTTATCAGTAACTGGTAAAATCTGATGTTTCTTGTCAGGGTTATAGGAATGAAAGGAAGATATACAGGAGAAATGTGAAGTACAGGTCATGTTTTTCTACTTCATTGATGAAATAGACAACATTCTTCTGCACTTAATCTCTGCACATGGAAGTGTGTGATGTATAGCTTGCAGATGTTTCTAACAAGTTAAGAATTGATGGAAAAGTTTAATTGTATCTATAAAATTTTAAATAATAAATTAGTGATGATGATGATGATAAATGCTTACAAAAATTGTGTAGTGCAAAAGAAATATTAGTAGGTAGTACAGACTATTGTCACACCTGTTCACAATGTGACTTTGATATCAGTTAAGCATAATAAATTACAAACAAAACTATTGAAAATACTATGTACTACATCATGGAGTACATCCTCGAATCTTGCCCTTTAATTAACTCCATGAAGCCAAGCCCTTCTTGAGAAGTGGCCATTTGTGCAGTTACTCAAGAATTTTCCAGCATTGTATGAAATCTGAAGGTTTATTACCATGTACACAAGAGCCGGAAGCAGCATCATAAGCAGCGACTTGAAGCACAGCAAATGATGCTCGAGATGGTTCAAGTTCATATAGCAACAGGCGTGACCAGAGTGGTTTAAATGGCTGTTGTACTGCGATGTGGAAAGCAAATGGGAAAACTACCACATTATCACTTTTCCTGGATAGTCTCTTTCCAAAAACAGAGATACCATGTATGCGAGATGTTTCCTCTGGAGACGAAACAAACTGGAGGGGCGGATTGAAGTGCGCAGAAGATGTAAGAAGATGCTGGATGACCTTGGGGACAGAAGAGGATATTTTAATTGAAGGAGAAAGCTTGAGATCGCATTAAGTGGAGGAACTGTTTTGGAAGGGACTGTGGACCTGTCATCTGACAGATTACTGATGAATGACACAAGAGCCCTCCACTAGTCCCTATCCTGAGTCAGATTAATCTAGTCCATACCACTGCATCCTATCTAAGATTCATTTCAATAGTATCCACCCACCTACAGCTTGGGCTTCCCAGCGGTCTCTTTCATTCTGGCTTTCCCATGAATATCATATTTGCATTCCTCTTCTTCCCAATTCGTGTTCCATGCCTTGTTCATCTAATGTTCGTTTACCTGATCACTGTAATTATATTTGGTGAAGAGCACAAATTTTGAAGCTCCTCATAATGCAGTTTTCTCCAACCACCTGCCACTTCATCCCTCTTTGGTCCAAATATTTATAGCACCTTGTTCTCAAACACGCTCAATGTATGTACCTCCCTTATGTCAGAGGCGAAGTTCATACAGAACCACAGGCAAAACTATAGTTTTGAATATTTTAATTTGTACGATTTTAGACAGCAGATAAGAAGACATAAGTTCTGGACGGAATGATAGCATGCATTACCCAGAATCAGTTTCCTCTTAATTTCCTCTTGGATCAAATTTTGATATGTTGCTGTCATTCCAAAATATTTGAACAGCAGCACATTGTCAACAGATGTGTTAGCTATCCTTATTTCATGATTTTGCCCTGCATCTTGTTGACAAGACAGCAACATATACTTTGTTTTCTCTGTGTTTACTTCTAGACCAGTCTCTTTACTAGCTTGAGTTAAAAGTTTCTGTGTTTTTCTTTATGGTATTTATGTTATCTCCCAGTAGATTTACATCATCATCATAGACCAGAAGCCAATGTGTCCCATTTAATTTCAGTCCCACCTGGTTTTCCTGGCAGAGTTGAAAAGCATTGATGATAAAGCATCTTGTTTTATACCATTTTGGATATGAAACCTATGATCTTACACATTCGGTAGGACTCCTTGGGTGGGTGATCAGCTCATCACAAGGCCTCTACCTGTACACAAACACAGAAAAATGCACACACAAACTAAACATCCATGCCCTGAGTGGGATTCAAACCCACGATCGCGCTTTCCAAGCAAGCGAAGACAGTACATGCCTCAGACCGCTCGGTTACCGTGACCGGCAATTAGTTTCTTGGGTACCCCAAACTACTAAAATATTGCACACAGAATTACTGGGTTTTTGGACTTTTTCCATCGTCCGGAATTCTAGGTAATAGAGGACACAATGTTTTCGGAAACTGGATCTGTTTCTGTCTTCGGGTGAGAAAGGAAGACACCTACTCAGTTGGGTCCCTTAGAAAGAGGTAATCTCAATCACCCTTTAGAATCTACTTATAAGAATATTGTACAATATTTCCCTCCTAACTGAATCATAGGCTTTCTTGAAGTCTATGAATGGTTGATGTACACTCTAATTGTACTCCCATTTTCTCTCCAGTATCTGGCAGTTGCAAAAAGCTTGGTTCAGTGGTTGATGTGTATGTTGAAACCTGTGCCTGTGATCATCAATAATATGGTCTGCATATGGGCTTAACCTTGCGAGAAGTATGTTGAATAAAATTTTGCATGAACTTCATAACAGTGATATTCATCGATAATTACTGCAGTCACCTTAATTGCCCTTCTTGTAAATTGGTACAATAATGGACTCCTTCCACTGCTTACGCAATTCTTCCTGACTCTAAACAGAATGAGTGTATGAATCTTGGACCATAATATTTCGCTTCTTGCTTGAATCAATTCTGCCAGAATTTGGTCACTAACTGGTGGTTTATACCTTTCCAAATTTGCAATAGCAATTTCACCCTCAAAAGGACTAGGCTCAGGTACTAAAATCTCAGCTGTATGTATTTCTGTCTGCATAACATCACTGACCATAATGTTTAATAACAGAAGTTCTTCTACCTATGAAAAATGTTGTGGGAATCTGCAAGCAGATCACGATTCACATCCTCCACAGAGTTCATTCTAGGCTGGTAACCGTTCTTAAATTCATTTATTCCTCCATACAGCTCTCTTATATTGTTGTTCTTACTGTTTGTTGCAAGCTCATTAATTTTGTTTTTCAGATGTTCCCTCTTTTGGTTCCTGAAATGCCTGCTGGCTTCACATCTTAGAGTGTTCAGCTTATCCCTATTTATTTTGCTTGGATCCTGTAACCACTGCAATCTGGCTGTCTCCTTTGATCTAACAGTTTTGAGCATTCTTTGGCTGAAATTTTGATATTCTGTCTAATAGTTTTCCAATCTCTGCTAATACTAACCTCAGTATGTAAGTTTTCTAAAGCTGCAAACCAATTTAAGACTTCAACCCAATGCCATTCTTTACACTCTGCCTCATTTAATTTTCTGAGTTTGAACCTCAACATATGAAATCTGTGCATTGTTTTTCACTCGCTGCCAGTCTGCTCCCCTGAATAACGGGACTTCAAGTACCCTTGAGTGCCATTTCCTGTTTATCAAAATATGTTCAATTTGATTGTGAGTCTTTCCATCAGGAGATGTCCAAGTAAATTTATGAAAGTTAGGATTTGGGAACATTGCACTTTTGATAGTCAGATTTTTGGATGTGACAAAGTTCACGACTCTAACTCCATTATCATTAAACTCCACCCTCTTAACTGCTGATATTATTCTCTTATGTATGAAAAAACCTGTACCTAATTCATGATTCTCTTACCCCTTTCCATAGAAAAATATATATTCGCCTGCTGGTTCAGTGCCACCTCTGTCCCGTCTGACCTCCTATACTCCCACTGAATCTCACTTATATTTTGATATTTCTTCTGCAACTGTCATAAGCAAACCTGCCCTATATATGTATATTTCTAACTTTCCACACACCAAATCTCATCCACTTTAGGTCGTTTATCCAAAGACTGTCCAAGTCCAAGGCTCTTTGTGACATTTTGTGCCAAACTTATTTCGTATGGCGAGGAAATTTTGGGCCCAGCCCCAAAGCTGGAGGACCGCCCCTTGTCAGCTGTCCACGACTGCTTATACAATATATTCATAACTACACTCTGTATCTGGAGGCTATCTTCTCCATCTGCAACCAGAGGACGCTCCAAGCCATGGGTACAAGGGACCCACTTATAAATTCCTTTTTTTGCAGGAAGTTGAAATGGTGCATTTCAAGGAAAATAGAGATAGTTTACTGAAGGCCTATGAAAATATGTTAAAGAAAGAAAAGGAAGATACAGAGAGATACAAGCGTGAAGTACAGCGCTACCAGCAGATGTTCCTCAAGAACACACCTACTCCCAACAAAAGCGAATATGAGGTAGGTATAACTAACTCTTTTGTAGTACCACCCGAAGGTTCAACGCTGATATCAGTAGGTTATATCTGAAGTTCTCACAGCAGTGACTTTGAAGAGTACAGGCTTATGTCCTATAACACTATGTAATTCAGTATACTACTACTTAACTACACTACATTATGGCCCAGAAGATTGCACTGTTTACTGATAGTAGTCCGTCACTGGACACAGTCCTGCGCTAGCACCAGCCATTTCCCATCTCCTCCTCAGTCTTACTAATGTATATTTCCCAAGAGGTTTCCCCAACAAAATTCAGTGTTCTGTTCTTCTCCATCTGAGCCACATGTCTAGCCCAGCATATCTTACTGAAATTATTAATCTCCCTCAAAATGGTGTTCAGAAGAAAATATTTTTTCTTCTTTTCTTATATGGCAAAAAAAAAGAATATCTCCCTCACACTTGTTTCAGCATCTTGCCCGATTAATTGTTTCTGGTATTCTTGGTTTATTGAATATGTGATAACACAGTCACTGGCTATGTGCTCCAGATCACCCTGGGTTCAAATACTGTGAAACTTAATTTTAAATATCTACTCTTACTTAGAAGAGGGCACGTGGTAGCGTAGTGGTTGAGGGGCTATGCTACAAGCTGGAAGGCCTCGGGTTCAAGTCCCGATGAGGTCACTGGATTTTTTTTTTCTTTCAATTGACCTAATCCTTCCGGCCACACTATGGCCCTCAGGTCGACTCAGCCTCTAACAGAAATGAGTACCAAGCATTAATTAAATAATTTTCCTGAGGAGTAAAGCGCAGCTGGCGCGTAAGGCTGACAACCTTACCGCCATCTTTGAGCTGATTGTCTAGATAAAGTGGGACCCTCAACATCTCACAACCCTATGGACCTCCACGGCCTGTTACAGGGATAGCTTTACTTTTACTTTTATTCTTACTTAGAGGAATAATATTTTTTAATTTACTAACCATTTTCAATTTACTAACATGCCAACTAATTGATCTGTTGACAAAAATTAATGTCATGGAAAGGAATAACCAGTTTGTTATTAAATAAAACCTTTTCTGTCTTTTATTAATTTATTTTTAAATTAAGGCAACAATCATTCAGGTACTGGGGTTCCACCCCAGAAGGTTTAAAGTTAGTAACAAAAATCTTGGTCCAAATATTTTCTTTTCCTGAGCTTTATTGTAAACTTACAACCAATTAAATTTATTCAGAATGTGTGTAGAGAAAACTGGTAATTGAAATACATTTTGATGTACTCTTGTATGTTGTCATATACCAGTCTGAAAGTGTTGCCATGCCTGAACAGACCTGTGGGCTGGCTTTTGCCTACCCCTGCTATATCATACCTCAGTCTTGTGATCCACTTGCCAGTGCTTGGTATGTTTGTGTGGGCTTGTATTTTAGTCTTTCAAATTACTGTAGCACCCATAGACAGTAATAATGTACCACTGGTTGCTACATTTAAAACCTGGAAGTAACTGCACTGAACATTGCAGTCAAATGGGTAACATGCCCATTTCATATTTAGAAGATCCAAGTTCAAATCTTGGCCTGGAGAAGAGGTCTTTTGATTGAGATTTTGTGATTTTTCACCAACCAAATGCTGGGACATTACCTCAAGGTTAGGTTGCAAATGCTTTCTTTCACATCCATTCCAATTCATTCTTTAATAATCATACGCATTCAATGCTGTATGTATGTGGTCAGGGCTTCTTTATGTGCATAATATCATAAATGTCAAACTATAGTGAAATTTGATGCAAGAGATCTTTGCACATTGTTGGTTGGTAACTTCTATTTTGGGTTGTATTGATGGATTACAGGGCCTCCTTTATATAAAATTATAGATGGACTTTTCCATGGATCCCATAAATCATTTCACAGACCCTTTTGAAATTAGGCATTGTGCATTGTTATGCTTTTGAAATATGAAATTTTCCTGCTTTATCCAATATACTTCATGATTCACTGAAATACTGCTTATAGACAAACTGCAGGTTGACTTAAACTGTGAAGAATGGTGCTAGGAATTTTTATGTATTGTTTTATAGGGTACATCCTTTCCAGTCTTATTATAACATAGCAGTAATGTTACCGATAGTTGTATGGTGGTGAGAGAAGGTGTGTTTCTTCCAGAAAAATGACTATTACAAATGACTGAAAATGAAGTGTTCAGAAAAATGTTCAGACCAAAGGATGATGATAAGGAATTGGGCAGTTTAGTATGTTGTATAAGCAGGAATTTTATATTTATACAAGCTGCTTAGTGTTATTGAAGTCATGAATTAAAAGAGGCTATAATGAGCCAGGCGTGTAGCTTGGATTTGAGAAAGAAGACATTTGTGCAGAATTCTGGTTTGGAAACTGTTGGAAACAGGCATTTGGAAGATGCAGAAGGTAACACTGACATGAGTCGTTGTGAGGATGGAAGGTGGATCTAATTGGCTCAGGATCTTGTCCAGTGGCAGGCTTTTGTATTAACAGTGTTGAACTTTTGTGTTCTACAGCTGGAAATTTAGTTACTTAATAATTATAGTGTGTCCACTTATGTAGATTGGTTGTAACAAGAGAACTTCAACATCTGTTTTCCCCACAGTGTATTATTCATAAATTTTAATATGTACTTTCACAATTTCATTATATAGCTGTCCATTTATTTATCAACTATTTAATAATATATAATACATAAAATTTATTTGAATTCGTCTATTAATTCATTCTTACTGCTTGCTTTGTTTTTAAAGGCAAACTAAATTATTTACCCCCCTCGACACTATTCCATTTGCTCCTCTTTATGAAAGTTTTCATTTGTGCTTTCTACCAGCATTGACATAATGAATGTTGCAGGAGAAATCTCTGTGCAAGAAAACTAATACTTTGTCATCCCTCACTTAGGTGACTGAAATATTTCACTAAGAGATGCAGGGTACAGTAAAATTAGGGATTTGCAAATAATGGATAGAAACAGTGATTTATTTTGGTCATGCATGTTGATTGCACATATTAATTTAATTTACTTCTACATGTAACTATTCGTGACCATGAAAAATGTTACTGTAGTTTGATAGTGCGACTTCCTAGAAAATATCTCAGAATTATTCTTTTGAGCTTCCTTTCTCCCTCCTATCTACCATTCTTGTTTTCATAACCTTTTGAGGATGCATGCAATTGCACAGAAACGCCCACAATAGATTCATCAAATGACCTTCACCCATCAATAGGAACATTTTGTATCAAAGCCTGTTCTTCCCTTCAAACTTCACTGTGTCATGCTTGATGTCATTATTGACAGAAATGCTTTACTAGTAGATTACCAGTGAGCTAATCTCTTTGGCTGTGGTAGTTTTGATGCAAGTACCCTGAACTGATCTAATTAGTGTATGGCATTCAGAGGGTTAAACTGTTAAACATGATGGTGTCTGGTTACTAGTCTGTTTCAATTGAACCAACCACAGTTCACTATTTCATCAGTTTTATTTTTGATGTTAAAAACTAAAGTGTGTTTGTACTTGTACTTGTGGTATTCATATGCTATCTTAAAGATCTCTTTATATGCTTTCCATGGTAGAATAATAAGTGTGACAGAGATGGCTCAAACGTAAAGAAGTAACAGTAGTTTGAAAATGTTTTCCATGTTATTTCATCTATACTCCAGGCACAAAGTACAGGAAGTTTTTGCAACATGTAATTCTTTTTCAATAGAATTTTCCACTTGCTACAAAATTAATTTCTGTCTGACAGGCAGGCATTAGGGCTTCCATTTCTCCAGACTTAGGTCAAAGTCTCTGGATTGTGAGTTTTGTTTCGAATCATAATTGGGGCATAGGTTTCACTGGCTCGCGCATAATAGAAACCTTTTAAATGTTATATGCCGTATTTGAATATAAGATGCTCTTAAATTTAAGACACGTCCAATATTTAAGTGAGGATTTTAGGAAAAAATTAGAAAGGTGTATTCATTTCAATGAGTTTATTTAGAACGCATCAATTACAATAACAAAATATTCAGAACACTTTTAAAGTGAAAAGTAATGGAAATTTAAAATTTTCACTACATACACATTCCTTTGCATCTTTTGTATTTAATCAGAAAGTTCATCTGGTGATCCTTCAGTTGCACTTCCATTTTCTGAACATGATGCACCCACGCCACTTTCTTCACTGTGGTTCCAAAGAATGTCATCTTGCATTCTCTCTTCTGCATTAGACAAACAGCACTTTAAAAATTATTTTGGGATACTATTGACTGGCACTTCTTATCAGGCTTTTGACATCCACTTCACTCTTATTGATGCTAATGCTATTTTGCCACTAGATATCAATATATTGTCTTCATTCAGACAAGATGCTTGAATGGTTTGTTGGTTGACACATCAAGTGGTTGTAATTGACTTACCACAAGGAATTATCACTAGAATGATGTTTTTGTTCCTTTGCATATTTCTGATTCTATTGGAGAGATGGAACGAAATGATCCATTGCAAGCAATCACATGCTTTACTGTGTACTTTCCACCAGCTGCATGATTACCTATCTTTTCATTGCACAGAATAACTTTTCTTTTGAATATAGCATCATGTGTAAAATGCTTTTTCATGGGTAAAAACTGATAGAGAACTGAACACACCTGAACAATAAGAATGTCAGGCAGTGACTGAACAGGAAGTTGGAGGTTGACTTGCAGTTATAGGTGTTGGGATAACGTGGCTTGATGACTCGTTCCAAATGTATTTGCATTAGGTTCTTTCCAGGCTATCCTGTGGACAGTGTGCAAACTGGTGAATAATTCATCAAATTTAAGATGCACCTCAGTTTTTCAATGGAAAAAAATGTGAAAAATATACATCTCATATTCAAAGTAGTATGGTATTTACATTGTTGTAGAAGTTTTACATTATAAGTTACACTGAAAATAGCTCTAGCTTGTTATATGATGTGTACATAGCCCACGCAAATGGTAGCTTGACGTCGTATAACAAATTTCTGTTGTGACACGATTTATCATCAATTTTCCTTTTGGATTTCTGAGCCTTATAGAAATGACCCTGAGATTAAAAAGGCCTCTGAGGTATGAACCCTCGGCATTGTGTGGCAAATTTACCTCTTGTAAATTAAGCAGAGGATTTTTGTTTCTTGACTATATTTCAGAACAGGCTGTAAGTGAATGTAATGGTATAAATGATTTTCAGACTGAGATAGATAACCACGAATAAGATCTAAAATTTTGTGACAGTGGTATATTAATACAATCATTGTGTTTCTGGACATTATCAATCATCCTGTTTTTATTTAAAATGTGCAGTGTTTTAGGCACTGGTGTCTGTTTCTGTCCTCAAACAGAACCTACTCATTTGGGAACAATCAATAGAGTTAGTCCCTGTCATCAGGCCCTTTTAAATAGAAAACAGGAAAATGGATAATGTTCAAAAATGAACAATTGTATAGATATCCATGAGTTTCCATCATACCATTTGGTAGTCTTTTTTTTTTTATATACAGTAAAACCCCCACATAACATTTCTTTTGGAAGCAGTGAATTTGAACTCCAAACTGAGAAAAATTCTGAATGGGAGTAATTTAACAATTAATAACAATAAACAATTAACATTCGAATAACTGATTCAGGATTACTGAAATTGAACATTACACAAAGGAAACCTTAAATTGAGGAATATAAATGGGGATTTCACTGTATATGTCAAATAAAAGACAATGTACAAAATTTGTACCAACAAGATACAGATCAGAACAAATGTGTAAACAGCAATTCAGTATGGGAAGTAACTGGCAAATAGTAAAGTTTCCATTAGGTTCAGATTTCTTCCTGCATGTTATGTTATTCTGAGCAATTAGCACTGGTGAAAGCTTCTGTGGAGCTCTTGAAGAATAAACAATACTTGTACATCCCATTTTAAGTCATTATATTTTAATATTTTAAACTATGCCACTGTATTTCTTGTATTGCAATTTTACTAATATCTTATTCCTGTCCCTAGATGAAAATACGGAAGTTAAATGAAGACCTAGAAAAGAAGAATCAAGAGCTGAAAGGTTGTTATGTTAAGGTGAGTACTTAGGCATGAAAACATTGTTGTGAACATTGATTGATAGATGGTTGGATAGATCAGTATACAGGATGTTTCACGACTTTAGGGCATAACTGCAGGAGGTGATTTACTAGGTCTTTGTGATCAAAAAAGTTTATATAAACATGTGTCCGATTTTGGACGGTTACGGAGTTATGACCTTTTTTTATTCCTGTACACGCCCTTGTGTGAACCGCATCTGTCATCTGGCAGGTCGCTATTTTTAGCCAGCTACAGACAGAGCGTTCACGTTATCTCGACACTTGAGAGGTACCTAAGGCATCGTGGGTTGGTATGTCCAGTGCAATTCACAACCGAGCAGCATCCTGTGTTGCAGCCAGCAGTGACATTTTCAAAAATCAGCTTTAAGCACCAATAAATTCAAATTAAAGGTAATTTCACGAAGTTAACTTGAAATTCATACTTTAAATGTATCCTGTATTATGCTGGTTTATTATTTTGTTCCGTTTAATGTCAGTGATTGTTACCTTCTATTCTGAGTTTCAAACAGTCATAACTCCATAACCGGCCAAAATCGGACACATGTTTATATGAACTTTTTTGATCACAAAGACTTAGGAAATCACCTCCTGCAGTTATGCCCTAAAGTCATGAAACACTCTGTATATGCATACTGGCAAACAATTTGTGTGTGCCACAGCGAAATTAACAGAAATCACAGCTGTGCCAGTGTATTTTATATTTCGCCTTTGAGGCCAAAACTGAAAATGATAGTAGTGGCAGACGCATCTTTAGGGGTGAATACAAACTAGATGGATAGATTGGTAGGCAGTTAGTTAGGCTTAACCTAGCATTCAAGTATTTAGGATTCTTCACAGACAATTAAATAATCTAAAATGGCATGTTTGTTGTATGTGGACAGCAGATTGAAAATTGCTATTCAGTATTAGCATATGAGACTTCAAAATAACATGCAGAATTGATACATTATTCATCTTCATTCAAAATGCAACCAAATATTGTGTTGTATACAGTATAGCTTCATATCTGGGAGGTCCAAGAATATATTCTCAAGCTGATTCTGATAGGGACTATTTGCGTTTTTGCAGTGATTGCAAAAATCCTCCTCATGTGCTTTAACTATACAGATATAGTACATATCAATATACAAGTTCATCGAAAACGAATGCCGGGATTGTAACAAACTAGCTGATAGAAATATTGACATGATTCAAGTGTTAAGTTGCTAAGAAATGTCTGAAGTTTTTGTCTTGCCTTATTATGTTTTGATATGTGCTCCAATTGTCGCACAGCAGATATCGAAATAGTATTTGATCTGCTGCCAAGTTTCACATGTATCAAATAGACCACTGTATTTTAGGTGCTGCATTATCACTATTGCTGAGTCCCAGGCTCATTCTCTGTAATGAACCCCACAGATTTAACCCCCCCCCCAAGAGAGAGATGCAATCAATTTCTGAAACATGATGTTATGAGAATAAATATGAACAATGTGTAAGGTCCAGGGTAATACAAATATCAATTTCTTGCATTGTGATTGTTATGAACTGTTTTTGGGAACTTTTGAAATGTCCTTGTTGATTCCAATTATGAATTCAGTAAGCACTCACACATGATAATAAAGTACTTAAACCTGAATAATGCATATATATAACTTAAAGTTGTGTATAATTGTTACAGTTGGTTAAACTTGGAGAAAAATACAAGTGTGGAAATCAACATGAGGTACAAAGTAATGAATCACAGTCCACAGCTCTTAGTGACTCAAAAGATGTCAACAGACAACGAACTCGGACTCGCACCCGCACCAAGGCTGTTGATGAAAATACCCAACCTCCCCTTACAAGCTCGGAGAAAAAGTAAGAATGATCTTCTCAGCTCCAGCATCCATATTTTCATAGTCTATGAAATTTTTAAGTTTTACTAACTTGCATCTCTTCGATCACTTGATAGTATACATAACAGGTCAAAATCGAGTAAGTTTACCCTGACCCAGTCACCACATACACTGTACACCATAATCTTATTATCTGATACACAATTCCACAAGTTGTGCAAAAAACTGTGTGTGTATGCTGATATCAAATCTGCCAGTGGACATGGTCTTGAGCCTGTTCCAGTCACCTTCCATCCATTCAGCCTATTTCCCTGAGTTCCAGCCTCTTCACCTTCTCAGTCTTTAGAGCAACCACTTGCCAAAAAGCTTCTGCACCAGAATTCCTTATGCATTTTTCTCTCCTATTTGACCTATATATCTGGCCCATCATATCCTCTTTGATTTCAGCCCTGTAACAAGCACTAAGTGTCTATAATAAGCTGTGAAGTTATTCATTGCACAGTATCCTCAGTTCCTTATTTATATAGGGAGACACTGAAAGAATTATTCAGGGTTCACTTTCCTGATTCAAAATTGATTGATAATTTGGCCGATGGACAGGGTCAGCAAAACCCAGGCACTTGCCAAAGCAAGACGAACAAGGTAGACTGGAACCTGGCCAAAGTCATAATTGACCAATCAAAAATCAGATGGGCACTGAATACCTTTAGACCATTTAAGTCAGCGGGAACAGATTGAATTGTACCGGCACTTTTGCAGTAGGGGGCAGAACTCTTAGTTCCACACCTGTGTCACATATNGACAATTATGACATGGCGAGCTAGTATTTTGTACTTCAATTTTATGGCTTCATGTCACTCACAAGTTAGTGTTATGTTACGTACATTATTAACACTACAGAATCCACATATTCCTGCCAGTTTTGATATGTATTTTGTAATCAACAAGTGTGCAACGCCGGTCAAAGTTTCACACTTCTCTGGCCATTATCTCCGTAACGGTTCAACTTTGGACATAGGTGTTTTGGGTTATATTGGCATACTTTAACATAAGGAATACCCTCCCGAAGTTTGGTCCATTCCTCCTGGGACACCCTGTATAGAGCCCACATGGCATATGGTTTTATCCCCATGGCCTGGAGGCAAGTTGAGGTGACATTTATCCCAAAGCCCGGAAACTAGATTACACCAAGGCTAAGGCTTATCATCCTGTCAGTCTGTCATATTTCCTTTTGAAAACGATGGAGAAAATAGTGGATAGGCATTGAGAATATTTTGCTACTTTTATTCCTGTATGATGTACACTGGTTACATTTCATCAGTGATAATCATACATGATCATATCGGAAGAATTAGATAATTATATTTCTAAAATTGACTATTTCACAAAATTAATATATGGATGTGTCTTTGTTAGTGTCTGCTTAGAATTATACATTATTATGAGAAGCAGTTTGTCTGAAGACTGAAGCAAGTTATTATCAGTGTGTTATATAAGATATGATGGATTATTTTTATGTCATAAATAATATTAACTGATGCACAAAGTACATGAGAAAAAAATTAATACTCCGTGAGTGACTGCTGATGGCCGTCTGAATACACATCGTTAATTTACATAATTAATTGATCATTATTCCATATGAACCTGCACATTGTTAAACCTTGCAACATCAATATATTATATTGTAGTGTATTTCAGACTCAAATTTTATGTTTATTGTTACAGATATGCTTCAAGAACACAGTCAAATAGTGTGGGTATGTATAAATTCCTGTTCTGTGATTTTGTGGTTACTGATGTTACAAGTGTTTGTATTTTTGTTACTCAGAAGTAAGCCAAAATTTGCTAATTACTGCCTTCTGGGATGTGATGCCATGCAGTCTGGTAGAAAGATAACATTTCAGAGGAGCCTGCTGCCTCCTCTGCAAATATGAATGTGTTTCATTTGTTTTTTTATAATTTGTAAATTTTTCTTCTGTGTTGTCATTAGGCAGGAAACAAGGTTGTAACGAAAAAACTAAATCCAGGAGTCGGCGCAAAAATCTCTTCTCATGTAATCTGGATGAGTCATCAGAAATTACTCCAGTTGAGGTGAGTAACAAAATGAATTGAATGTTTTAAATTGCTGTAAATAGCGGTGTATTGTTTCAGGTACAAACCACTTTAGAGGAATATCCAGTTAAATTGTCTAAAATATGAATATACAGTTACAGAATTCTTGAAAAAAAGGAATATGCGGATAGACATTTTAATTTTATAATTCAGTGACTGACATGTAAATAATGGCTGAACATCATATGCCACATTTAATCCTGCATTACTTGAATACTGGGTTGCAGGTTCAAATCCTCGTCAGGGAACATATTTCTATTTTATGTCGTGTCAGTAGAGGCCTTGTGATCCATAATTGCAACACCAAGGCAGTACATTCGAAGCTATAGTCCATAATACAAAATGGATAAAACTCCTATAGCAGAGTCCTTGACAAATATAGTCAAGAAATATTCTGTCCTTAATGGAATCTATAGGATAAAAGTACACCAATAGGCCCTAAAGTCATCACCTTTATTTTAGTTGCAGTTATGGTTAATCTACTGCAACGAGTATTTCAAGTTGCAAATTTTATAAAATAATTATTGATAAGCGTTCTTCATAAAATTGTATAGTGTTATACTTATTTGTGTCATCAGCCCAGCATACACCTACCATACTGGAGGACCCTGTCAGAACCTCTGTTATATGGTGTTTCATATTTTATAATGAATCATAATTTCCAGGGCCATTTTTGCCGTGTGCTAACACTTGCTGCCCACAGTTTAGAGTACATGGCTTAGTTCTGGAAACAAAATTCTTAGTGCAGACACTATGCATTCCCTATTTAATTAATATCTAGGAGAATGGCTTTTCTTACGCTAAATGGAGATTATACAGAATTACATCAGTAAATTTTATCTTATGACAGTTTCTGTATGTAATTATGATAAAATAATTTTGTTGCTTAAGTAGATAATGGAAATTCTTTTATGTTAGTAAATAGTTTCATAATAATATCAAATTAAATATGAAAATATTAATGACATGAAGTAAGCAATGAAAGAAAGAATCTGTTTCTGCATAATTGAATATATTTATATAAACTAATATATTAATTTCTGAAACAGTTAATGACATGGTGAACACAGTGGCTGTATGGGAAAGATTTCTGGTGGGGAGAAAACAATATCAGTTCTTTCAACAATATTCATAGTAAATCAAGGTATGAGACTGGAAGGTCGTGGGTTATTTACCAAATTGACATTCACTAAGTATGGAAAAATAATACAGAGTTTATATTGGTCTTCAGTTGGGATCCCAACTATATATACACTAAATACAGGATTTCAGTACATGTGAAAAGTATTTCATTGTAAGCTGAATCTTCCCTTATAGTTGCAGTGCATTATTTTCTGTAACTAGTAATGCTGTTACCTATGGCATTAGCCATTTTTACAAGATCAGGGTCCTGTGTAACAGCAACACACAAAAGGCACTAACAAATATTTTTAGTTTATTTGCTGTGAACTGCATAAAATGATGTTTTAATTGGATCTGCTTTTTCAACAGACGGAGGAAATTCCACCTTCTATGTCACCAACCAGAATTCTGAGAAGTCACCGCAGGTGACATGATTGGAAGAATGTGAGAGTGATGAATGTTTGTGAAATTTTGTTTGGAAATATTTATATGTATATGTAATAGTATTTTATCCAGAAAGACAGGACACATGAAATGGATATAAATCACAAGTTTCTTTAGTTCATGTCCATTTTAAACTGTTGCATAAAGTTTTATGATTTTGACACATTGTTCATTCTTTATAGGTTATTAATACTGTGGAAATACATTAGAAATGTGTAATTACAATGTGTTCAGAAATTGAGCCATTGAGCCAACTTGTAAATTTCTACACAGTTTGAAAAATATTAATATTCAATTTGTATGAATTAATGTGCTTTTAAAATGAAAAATTTATGTGTGATTTCAATGTGGCCTAGAGATGACATTTTTATTATGCTTACAGAATTTAAATTCTGATTTTATCCACAGTTAGGCTGCGCCATAGCTCAAGCGGTTAGTCGCTGGCTTCCCACAGCAGTGGCCCTGGTTCAATCCCATGTCTAGTCAAGTGGGATTTGTGGTGGACAACGTGGCGCTGGGGCAGGTTTTCTCAGAGTACTTCAGTTTCCCCTGCCAATCTTCATTCCACCAAATTCTCCACCATAATCACCCGGGGCAGGTACAAAAGGCCAATCACTGGCCGCCGTGCCGAGTGGACCCTGCTGGACTCCACCCCCCCCCACTAACGAATTTTACCCACAGTTAGAAAGTGCTCTGTCATTTAAAAAAAAAATTGAAATCGTCAAATTACATATTCACTCTTGGAATTTTCTTCATAAAGTAGAATTCTGAGAAGTCATCGCATGTGACATGATTGGACTAATGTGAGAGTGACGGATGTTTGTGGAATTTTGTTTAGAAATATTTCTAAACAAAATTCCACCGTTGCATAAATTGTATAATTCTGACACATTGTTCATTCCTTGTAGGATTGAACAATGTGGAAATACGTTAGAAATGTGTAGTTACAATGTGTTCAGCCATTGAGCCAGCTTGTAATTTCTACACAGTTTGAAAAATAATAATATTGCATTTGTATTAATTAGCGTGCTTTTAAAATGATTTCAATGTGGCCTAGAGATGACAGTTTTATTATGCTGACATAATTTAAATTCTGGTTTTATCCACAGTTAGAGTGTGTTCTGTCATTTTTAAAATAAAATTGAAACCATCAAATTACATATTCCGTCTTGGAATTTGCTTCATAAAGTAAATAACTAATGACAATACTTTGCAGATTTTAATGATTATAGAGCATGCTCAGCTGTACTATAGAAATGAGGATGCATCACCATTAGTCAGTGACACAGACTTTTATGTTCTTATTAGGAAGTTACTAGCTTCTTTTTTTCCACATACTTCCAGTAATCTTATACCAGTGAGAATTCAAACATACTTACAAGGGAATTCTCTTCCATAAGGTTGCTTATACTGTGACATACACTGGTATGTACAGTAGGTGGTCTTTGGAAGGGCCAGAGGAGTGTGGGTATAGAAAATATTGAGCCCTGTAGTTAATTGCTGATTTATAAAGGTTACTTCTTGTACATGACCACCTACACTTACCACAAAAAATTCTTTTAAATTTTACTAGCAGAAGCATTTCAGCTTATCAGCCATCTTCAGTGCTATTTAAATCGTAGTTCATATTACCACCTCACTTTTATATTATACCCTACCATAAAAAGAAATCCATGGCCTGTAGTCCACAAGTGAACTATATCAACCAAGCAACCTCTTTGTCTGCAAAGTTAGTGCCAACATTTTGTGGATAGAGGGTGTTGCATGGTAAGCATAACTGATCCTCATGGGCGATAATCTCGGTTTTCTAGACTGGAGCCACTATTCCCTTCAAATAGCTCCTCAGTTATCCTCATGAGCCTGAGAGGACCCCATTCTAGATCCAATACTTCTCAGAAAATCTGGTAGCGCCGGGAAACGAACCCGGGACCTCTGGATCTGTAGCTAGGAACTCTGGCCACTAGACCACAGAGGCAGTCATACCCTACCATCTTTGTAGCAAATTGTATATGCCTGTAGGGCAGTGAGGGATGAAGTACATAGGTAAGTCAATAAGTAAGATATAAAAGGATATAAAACTTAAACAAATAAAAGTACTGATTTGAAAAATGCTTTTATTTCTCAACATAATCTCCCTGTATATTGAGGCACTTGTCTCATCGTTTCACAAGCCCCTGAAAACCAGCAGCATGAAATTCTTTGGGCTGCTCTCAGAACCAGGCATGTTCACACGTCATGGCCTACCTCATAATGCATGACAGGTTAGGTTTCCACAAAGTCTGTGCACGAAGGGTGCCACGCATGCTGACCCCACAACACAAAATGCAAAGAATGGGTCTGGCATTACAGCATCTCAATCGCTACCACGATGGACACAATATGCTAGTCAGAAATTTTCACAGGTGATGAGTCTTGATTCACCATTACCAGTCCGAGAAAGCATGCGTCAATGCAGTGGAAACATCCTATGTCGCCTGCCAAAAAGAAAGTTTAAGGTGACACCATCCTCCAGGAAAGTGATGCCTGCTGTCTTCTAGGATCATGAAGGCATACTGCTCGCCGCATTCCAGCCTCAAGGCGATGCAGGATGTTTCCACTGCATTGATGCGCGCTTTGTCTCAGGCTGGTAATATCAAGAGGAAATATCCCAGCATGCCCATGAGCAGTATTATGTTGCATGAGAAAGCCCATCCCCCTATGCAGAGTGTTGTACATTGCCACATAGAGTCTGGAACTATCACTGTGTGACTTCCATGTGTTTGGCACTTAGAATCATTTGGTATATTCAAGTCAGTATATGGGTGGATATGATTTTATAGACCAACTTCACAACAGAAAGGAAGAGAATGAAGGAGTGATACATGAAGTTAATTTGTGGATGCTAATTACATCCGACAGCATTTCAAGGTGAAATTGGTCACTTATATGGTATCAGTTTGGTGTAAGGGCTCTCTGACCATGAGCTACTAAACTGAAATTCCTCAGACAACACAAAGCCATGCTTTGAAAAGATTTTATCCCGAGGCTCCCACCAAATGAGAAATAAGAAAACCCCTAAAAAAGACAAGTGTACTAGTTGTTCCAAGCATGGCAAGGAAAAAGTTAATATGTAAGACTTGGCCTTGAGTGTTCTGAGGATTACCACACTGAACTTAACTGCAGTAAGATAATGTCAAGGAAAAACATTTTTTCTTGGCATTTTAAAATTTGGCTCTTTTTTATGACCCCCCCCCCCACAGGCATGTGGAACAAATGCAAGAGCACCATTCGTGATGTGAATAGATTCGGCTAAATGTGGACATCAAATCAAATTCACAGTAAAATTTAATAATTTAACTGGGTTTTAAAATCAGCAATGTTGAGACTTATAAAGCAGTACAGTTTATTACTTTTGAATGTTCGAGATCAGTGGCCTTCCTGACGCTATATAAACCGATCTCGTTCTCAGGGCACGGCTGCGATTGTACAAGCCATCACTGCATTATATGCACCATCTGAATACAAGCGCTCAGGTAACAAAGTACAGTATTTTCATTATTATGGCAGCAGTTCTTTTATGTACGAATAGGTGGCATTCATGGGGTAACTATGCGGTAGTTTCTCGTAACATCGCTGTTACTTCTTGCATCGTACGGAACAATGTGCTGATACTTTTCGTTTGCAAACACTGATACTTGCATGCAAACGGTGTGTAGGAATTTGTTGCCAAACATTCGTACCACAACCGTTGTCCTACTCTCTACACAGGTTACGTGAAAATACTAGTTATGAAGACCCAGGGAGAACAGCAAGAAAGCTCACCGTGCGCTTACAAGGACAGCTGCTGTTGAGTATTGCAGGTGTTTGTGGCCGGAATTTGGAACCAGATGCAATATAAAATCTTGTCTGTGTGGTTTAGGGTACTGCACAAAGCAGTAAGAAAACGGTAGTGTTTTTGTCCTAGGAAGGTTGTCGAGGGAGAACCTAATACAACAGTGGGAACCACAATATTAGCAACTTTTTAGCCGCTCTAAGTTGTAGCGAAAACCACGGCCAAAGGAAATTATCCTGAAGGTGAAGATATACACGTATATTCATTGGTGAGTACCTGGAAAAATTTGTAATCATATATTAAGATGTTATTGTCGGGGGCGAAGCTGCTTAATAGGGATGAACAAACTGAAGCATTGGACCACAGTGTCGATAAAAGAAAAGTTGTTCAGACTAGAAAAACGCCATAATTTCATATACCACTAGTCATTAATATTTCCAGTAAGTTTACTCAGGCTCAAATATATTGACATGTATTTACCATTTGTCGAAGTTTTTTTTTTCGGAATGGTAAAAGCAGGTGGTTTTTTCAGGTCTGTAATATGTGAATGACTGTAGGCACCGTAATGGAGTCCCTATCTGTAAGACGTAATGTCAGGAGTTATATTTAAATCGTACTCAGACATTTTTCTAGTTTATAGATTTTAATAATACTAACTCCTATGTTACTAAAAACATGTATAACTCACGTGTTTCCTATAGTTAGCTCTCCTGGGTGTGTATTTGAAGGGAAAAGGATGTGGGCTAAGGCTAAGTTACATGTATTAGTTGCTGACAGTAGATAGTTTATAGGAGAAAAATTTCCTCTGGAACTGAATCATTCTTTATTATGTCGTGAAGTATGGAGGTATGATATGACATTACGCTGTCAGAAAAGTCTGTCAATCCTAGATGGATAAAATTCTTATCAAATCGGCCCCGCTCTTAGATATTTCAATGGCAGTGTTATTTCGTGGCACACCAAGGTTAGGTAACCAATTACTGAATCGTACCACGATTAGTTTGTATAATATCTTAATTAATATTGGCGTGGATTGGACATATTGTAGTTAAAACTAGCCATTGCCAGAGTTATTTCTCAAGAAGTTTCAGAAGTTGCTCGGTTGCCCCTCCCTGCCCCCATAGTATAACACTGAGAGTAACTGGGACATGTAGCTTTTGTAGTAAATTATTACCGTATCAGCCCAAATAAAAGGCAAGGTTCCCCCCTCCCAAAATACTGCTTCTTAGAAAAGATGGCCCTCTTATTTTGGAATCTGTATGAATAAATATGAAGACTATGATTGTGCGGAGTAACCCTCAGAACAAAATGACAAATCCAGTTTCGTAAAAAAAAACTTCCTCGTGAGATCGATTAAAAAAAATGCAATTTTATTCATCAAGCTTCATGCATCGTGCACGGTCAGATATCGTCGAAACATGAAACTCTAGTGTCAGATGCTCAGAACCGAAATGTATGGACTGGATCGAGCTGGCTTCCATAATGGCAGATTTGTTTATAACTACGAAATTTGTTTAAATCAATGCTTTGTGTGCCACACAATTCCCGATGCTATACAGTCTCGAGATTGACAGCGTCGTTAACAACCAACTTAAAAACGGACACTGTTCGGTTGTTAACGAAACAAACAGGCAGCATTCAGGGCTAATACGTCAGCACGGGGCACCCCAGATCGCCCCCCCCCTCATTTCGTTTCTTGAAAAGAAAATTAATTTCTGCTGCTCATTTTTGCGTGTCGTTACCCTTAATTAACAGTCACGTAAACACGTTGAACAGACGTGCAAATAAAACTGTTTAAACAATTACGACACCAGCGATGGTTTCCTGATCTTAATTGTAAGGAACTTTTGACGTCTTTTTAACAGAGGTCATTGTTGTAGACTCCAAACACCGCCATGTCAGACTCAGTGCTTGTTCCCAGAATCTTATTTTTAAGAATAACAACACTCTGTAATTCATAAATAAGAAATCAGAAAGAGTGAAAAATCCATTTCTTGTCTCCTTCAATTTTTACGGAATAGCCTTCAGAATCTTATTTTTAAGAATAACAACACTCTGTAATTCATAAATAAGAAATCAGAAAGAGTGAAAAATCCATTTCTTGTCTCCTTCAATTTTTACGGAATAGCCTTCAGAATCTTATTTTTAAGAATAACAACACTCTGTAATTCATAAATAAGAAATCAGAAAGAGTGAAAAATCCATTTCTTGTCTCCTTCAATTTTTACGGAATAGCCTTCATCTACAGAGTGCCCAGAAGGCCACAGTCTATCCTTACTCTGTTTTCACCACATTCTGCCCCCAAATATAATGTTCTATCCGTAGATTAGAGTATGACATGTGGCTTGTGGATGCCTCTGATGATGGCTCTTTGTGAGCCGAAACATGTAAGGCAAATGTGAGGAAATGGTGACAAGAATATATATTGTTACACTCGACGGAGGTTCTATTGATAGTTAGTTATGACATGTCAAGTTTCGCAACGGGCAGTAAGAGGAACATGAGATCGCGGTGTCGCAGGGGAATGAGAATAGTACAATGAGGGGCAGTGCTGGAAAAATCAGAAGTGACAATTAGCAGTATTCATGATTTACTATACGGAAAATTGATCTTCATCTTAAAGTTACCAGTAAGATTGCACATTCTGTATCCTGATTGTATAAAACAGCGATAGAGGGAGCTGCACATCTTTATCTGTAGCGTTGCTGATTCAGTTATGTAATGAGCATGTGTCAGCTGCAGATGTTTCATTATGTACACATTATAGACTGATATGCGAATGATAAGCGGTAAGGAAATTATAAATTAGAAAGAAATTGGCTGGTGGTTGCTTACATGAAGTTCTGAATTCGCCAGCAGAGACAGGTGATATTAACCCAAACTCTTTGGATAGCCAGTTCTTTCTTAGTTACAGTGAACTGTTTAAAAATTGTCGTAAGCTGAAACGATATTCTCTTTCTTGTTACTTTCCCATACAAGTGATTTTGTTTTAATATGAAAAAAAAAAAAACTTTACACAAACATAAGATTTAAAATGACGCATGAATATACCGAAATGTATTGTGTGGATTTTATATTTCCATGTCCGGAATCAGTTTCATTCACGCTGAAGGAAATTCTAAGGGCCAGGGCACACCAAGGAAACTGGCAACCGCAACGCAACCACAATTTCCGAGAAAAATCGCCGATTTCAAACAGGCAACTGGTTTCCAGATTAGCAGGCGCGCACTGAGGAAACTTGTTTCATTAGTTGCTTACATCATGTCAAGTGGGTGTGTTCGTCCGACGTAATGCATAATTGTATTCGTATTTTTAATTTCGTGCACTTAACATCTGCAATGGAAGATAATAATACTGATCCTGTCATAATACTCGAATGGTGGTAGTTGATACGGCTTGAGAAGAGAGAGGGCCACGACCATAAGGAAAACACTGGGTTGTTAATTACTTTAATTAATTTTAATTAAGGTTAGTTTGTTTTATTCAGGAAATATCGCTTTCACGCGCGACACAAAATTCTGATATACAGTGCAACAATTTTAGAAAAATAGAATACACCTGATGATGGCTGTATACGGCCGAAACATGTAGTGTGAAAGAAGGGTCACTATATAATAAGTTGCATTTAGGACGGAAATATATGTGAAATAAACGATATATTAAAGCAACAGGATGCTTAAATACAGTATTAAGAAAAGAAATGATTTGGTGCATCCGTTCTGTGACAATTTAAACTGAGGCGCTTATATTGTTTCGAAAGAACTTAACCTGGATCCTGACTGCTTCGTTTCATGAGAAATTCTTTCCCAAGCCAAATCTATTTTGTCCTGCCTAGAATAGCTTGGGTAAAGTAAAAGTAAATAAAGTAAAGCTATCCCTGTAACAGGCCGTGAAGGCCCATAGGATCCCACATTATCTATACAATCGGCTCAAAGATGGCGGCAAGGTTGTCAGCCTTATGCCCCGGCCGTCTTTTACCCCCCAGGAAAATCCCTGGTACTCATTTCTGTTAGAGGCTGAGTCAACCCCAGGGCCATAGTGCGGCTGGAAGGACTAGGTCAACTGAAAAAAAAATCCAGTGACCTCATCGGGACTTTAACCCGCGACCTTCCGGCTTGTAGCATAGTGCCTCACCCAACTACGCTACCGCGTGCCCCCGGAATAGTCTGGGTAGTCTGGGAGGCGTTTTTAATATATACCAGGCTTTTACTCAACGCGGAAGCGTAGTTGGTTGAAGCACTATGCTACAAGCCGGAAGGTCGCGAGTTCGAGTCCCGAGGAGTTCATTGTATTCTTTTCAGTTGACTTAATCCTTCCAGCGGCACTATGGCCCTGGGGTCGACTCAGCCTATAACAGAAATGAGTACAAGGAATATTCTTTGAATATTCTTGGGGGTAAAGGGCGGCCGGCGCATAGGGCTGCAACCTTGCCGCCTTCTTTGAGCCGATTGTCTAGAAAATGTGGTAACCTCAACATCTCACAACCCAATGGGCCTCCACGGCCTGTTACAAAGATACATTTACTTTTTTACCAGACTTTTGCTCAGTCAACTGCACAAAAACAAAATTAGCATCGTCGTCATCCTTTCGTGACATCTTAAGAAACAAATGAATAACTGAAGCACGATATAGAAGAAGCTGACACTAGGAAACCACGCGGCAACGCAATTGTGAGAAGACTGGCTTGCTCCGTTGCCTGGAAGTTGAGTTTCTCAGTCTTTCCGCCAGTTGCGTTACCGTTTCCTCAATTTGCCCTGCTCCATTCAGTAACATGTCTTCAACTCAGGCTGATAACAATTTTCGGAAACTGCAGTTGCTTTGCGGTTGCCAGTTTCCTTGGTGTGCCCTCGCCCTAAGAGCAGTGCCACATGATCTTATTATACCTGCAGCACAGGGTGTTGTAGTTTTAAAATTGGAAGCACGGTGGTGGGGATATGGTATGTATGGACCACCCCCACCGGAGGGGGAGGAGTGCGCCCCGAGATAATTTTGAAAAAAAGATAGATGCTTATGAATCCATGTGAATATAAACAGCATTATAATTTAGATGGAATACTCGCGCTGAATTTTGTGTTATGGCAAGAAATCTGTAGCAAAATAAGAAACAAATATGCAGTTAAATCCGCGACAGGCATCTGTTGACCTCGTAGCGCACGCTATGGTAAACACAAGCTTAGAAGCAGCGCTTTTGGTTTTCTCTATTATTTCTGCTCTTTACAACGTTCCGCTTCGTACCTAATCGCTCATGAAAGGGAGGGAGCATTTCTGTAACTGGTCTTGCAGCATTCGCAACAGAGACTCGGGTTAACCCAGCAGACTAGTCGGAAAGAAACTGAGTGATCAGTTGATCTAAGCAGACGTTACCATTGTATAAATCTTTGTCTGCAGTAAGAAATACATATAAAAAGTACCGAACACAAATCACGTGCGTTTTTTGCGCAACTCTGAAGACAGAAACCTTCATCTCATCTGTATAGTACGTATTTGAAGAGTCGCAGAAATAGGGGCGTTTACGCATTTATGATGATTGCACAAAGGATAATAAAACCAAATTTATGCTTTTCAGTTATAATAGTACTCTTATCTGGCTCGCGTCAGACTGAATTAGGATCTGTTTGCTCCTATACTTAGTCGCCATTACGTCCAGCTTCGGCTGTGGGTGTCGAACAGACCTACCAACTATGGGCAGTGGACACTTTCCCAGGATGATAGAAGGATCTGACCGGAAAGCCCTGTGTCCGTGCTCCTTATAAATCTCCACGGTATGCATGATGCTCTGGGGTACATTGTCTCAAGATGAAAACACCGTGAAAATCTACCAGACATCAGCAGATATTGCAAGCGCCATTGACGTTTGAAAGGTTTCATCCTTTGAAACGCTCAAATGCTATAGTTTTAAATCTTAGTATTCCTTGTTACTGTTCCCACATATCACGAAAATAAATACATTGCCGTGCAGCGAGGTTGTTTCAGTTGTTTGTACGCAGCAGTAATACAGTAGTAGTACTCGTAATACTGGAAGGCAAGCTTCAATAGTAGCAGTGGTACGTAGTAAAATGTAAAGTTGGTCGCTCGGACGCTGGAGACGTGTGTTCGAATCCCACTCAGGACGTGGTCTATGCATGCTTTCATTCTGTCCTGTGTTTAGGTAGAGACCTTGTGACGGGCTGACCACTCTTCCAAGGAGTCCTACCACTGTAAAAAATGATTACGGGGCTGAATAAGAGGCCAGGGCCCTGAATGGGCTGGAAGAGCCGTTGTAAAAAAATATGTAAAATTCGCCCTCTGCTTTGATTAAGCAGTGTGGCATGATGGCATATGTCGGAGTGGAGGTGTACGCGCATTCTTAACCTTGGGAATAGACAGGGGGGAGTAGTTTAGCTTCACGCACAAGCCGTATTACCCCCGGTATCACAGCGTCCAAACCAGTCCTGTTACAGTGGTTACCGGGAGTAAAGCGATGGAGCTGACAACTCACCACCAAGTGCCGAGGTCAAGAATGTTGAAGCTTAACCTCCATTCCCCCATATATCTTCACAGCATAGTGATTAATTAATTACGCAGAGGGACAACTTTACTTTTTTGCCTTTACACTTTCAATAAGAAGTTTGGCCGGGACCAATATAACCCAATAGGTGTGGCGACTAGTCTGCTGTTGGTCGACCAAGGAATCAGGATTTTATTTCCGGCAGCGTACAGACCGGCTGAGGGGCCCGCCCAGCCTCTTAGCCAACAGAGTGCTGGGGGTAAAGCGACTGGCCACATTCATGTGATGGCGAGGTTAAAAATATGTGGAGCTACACCTCCACTCCCCTGCACATGTTCATGGCGTGGTGCTAGCATAGGGTCAGCTTTGCACGCTGCGGCCAGTCTAGACGCGATGACAAAGATAACTACTACTACTACTACTACTACTACTACTCCAGCAGTAAGGCCGCGCCATAGCTCAAGTGGTTAGTCGCTGGCTTCCCACCGCGGCGGCCCGGGTTCAAGCCCGGGTCTGGTCAAGTGAGATTTGTGGTGGACAGAGTGGCGCTGGGGCAGGTTTTCTCCGAGTACTTCGGTTTCCCCTGCCAATCTTCATTCTACCACATTTTCCATAATCATAATCAACCGGGGCAGGTACAATAGGCCAATCAGTGGCCGACGTGCCGAGTGGACCCACCCCCCACTATGCGAAATTACTACTCTAGTAGTAGTAGTAGTAGTAGCAGCAGCGAAGGTAGTGGTATTAGTAGGGGTAGCAGCTGAAGCAGGCGTGTATGTTAGTATTACCCCGGATATACGTACAGTTTCAAAACAGCCCTACAGATTCGTGTTGTACACAACTTGGATGTGATTTTGTATTGTACTTAGCTGGTGTGTTAGGTTTCGAGTACAGTACAAAGCGGAAGATACAAAGAACGAGCCGCATATTGTGACTCAGCAAGTGATTACCTAGTACTGTCGCAGGCCCCTCCCACGAGGGAGCATCCCACTGACACCGTCCTACATACTGGTGATGCGGGCAGAGGTGGACTGCCTTTTTTGACTGATTCGTAAGTAGAATTGAAAGTGAACGCACATTTGGGAACAACAGTGAAACAAGATGTCGCACAATATCAGATGATGAATTGTGCTTCACAGTTGTTTTCGGACGAAAGTTTGAACTTCGAAGCAAAATCTTCGTGAACATTGTAACAGACATTGATATATTAGACACTGTAGCAAAAACAAGAAAAACTTACTGAAATTGACCGGAAATTTAGTTGATGAGTTTTAAACCATAGACAATATTGTGGTCGCATGGTCTCACCTCCCCCTAAGCGGCCTTCGTTCCCACCTCATGACTCAAGGTACGCGGGTTCAAACCCAGCGGAGGTCGTGGAATTTTTAAGGGAGGAAAAATTCAGGGAACAAGTCCTCCGGGAGGGACTTTAAGCCGTGGGTCCCGTGTCGTAGATTTACGGCACGTAAAAGATCCTCATGTCTCTAGGAGACCTCTGAGCAAAATTAGGCAACAAGTTTCCCGCCCAAGTAGTTTCCAGTGTCTCTGGTATATGGGGGAAATATCAGGTACCGAGGGCCGACCTCGTTGGCTGAACGGGGCTGATAGCACGCACCAGTACCGGTAGGGTATGGCGACAGTAGAAATTAAAGGGGGACGCACAATACCAATAACTGGTCTAAGTGCATGGGGAAACCCACCCCCTCTAATAATAATATTAATAATAATACCTCCCCCTACCCCATACATTGGGATTGTGGGTCCAAATCCCACTTGATGCATGCATGCATGTTGGGGGGTTTTCCTAAGTAGACATTGCAGTGAATAAATCCTCGAAAATCCTTTGCACTGCTCCTAAAATCTTGGCAGGTGGGTGTATCTGTGATGCTGTTCACTTTTTTTGGGAAGTACTCGGTTCAGATCTGGGGTGGAATATCCTGTATTCAGACAATAGTTTTTCGTTGTTTTCTTCAGTGTGTTCATGTACTTACCAATGCAGTGCCTAGAAATAAGACGCTATGTGCCCTTCCAAATCTTTGGTTATTCCCATCCCTCTCAGTCCGGCATTACTGCGTAACAGGCGCAGTTCAAACAGCAGCTGTAAATGACCAAGGAATAAGTGTCTTGTTAAAATAAGAGAAGAAATATTTTAGGCAAGGAAAATGGGATGTAGAATCTCTTGAGCTAGGAGGGATAACACAGAGGAAAGCTGTCATTATTCTAGATTAATTGTAGCATTGTTAGGATACTAATTATTGTGATTCATTTTTTATTTGACTTTCAAGAAACTGTGCTTGGGGTGGCAACCCAAATTCCAGATTGTGCTGCAGCTCTCCCTGTGTTAATATTAAAGTTTCACTCTGATGTAGCCCCACCCACCTGCAGTGTTAAATGAAAATTTTACCTTAATCCATTCCTCCCGATGATAATGTCAGAATTCCACTCGAGTGCAGCAAAGAGCTTGTTCAACATCTCTCCTCTGTGCATTAGAATGTTCACTTCCTGATGTTTCCCTTCTTCACTATCCAATGCTTTGCTTACTTTCCAACAGACCTCTAACAGAAGGATGAAGAACACTGCCTGGAAACTTTCAAAGCAAGAAAATGTCTATTTTCCCTCTTAAAATATAGTATTTCTTACTACTGCCCCACCACTCTCTCATCCTTTCCCCCTCCCCTAGCTTCAAAGGGTTATCATGTTACAGATAATACTGTGAAAATGCAAGAACTTTAATTGTGTAGCTGTAGGGTTAAGGTGTCCCTGTGCTTCATTAATTAAGCAGTTAAGCACTACACCATGAAGATGTATGAGAGAGTGGAGGTATTGTAAGCTTTTGATATTAAATTGGAAGAGAAGTTACTTTTCCTTAGAATATAGCTGTTGTGTGGGAAGAAGCATCTGAACGCTTATTTTGAAGTGGGCGAATGTTATCATGAGGTCTTCCACAAAGTGACCCTGTCACATTATGAATTTGGCTGAAAATGTGAAAAGGATGTACATGAGTAAATGTATTAAATTGTTGTGTTTTATGTACAAATGAGGTGCTTGATTCTCTTTTAAAAATGTGAACTGAAACAATCATCACATTTTCTTTTTACTCGAATGTAAATATTTTAAAAGTTTTTAACAGTTGGGTCATTACCAATTTCCTTTCAGGAATGTGGCTTTATCTGTCTAATGCAGATCACAGTAAATTATGTTGCATGAAATCTTTGGAGTTCTGCAAGACTTTCCTAGGTGTTTCACAATTTTATATTGAAACCATAAACCAATAGTTCTTTTATTGTCTTCAGTTACTCACCTATTGTCTATATTAGTGAAGGTACATAAAACACATGGTCTGTACACTGTAGCTACTCAGATCTGGTATAATTAATGAACACTACTGAGTCTCTTGCCCAAGGGTATCTTGTCAAGCTAACCAGAAACCCCACTTTAGTGCTGAGGCATGTCCCGTTTGTGCCTTTGAGATGTGGTTCTTGGGCAACGATATGGCTTGCCTTTACTGAAATAATGGTACCATTGATGATACAAATGCTATTTTACACTGCATCTACTTGGTTGTGTTATTACAGATGAAATCATCTTCAAAATTACAAACTAAAATGAAATTACTTCTTATTTTTCAGGAGGAATGGTTTTTGTCAGGATGAGATTTGTAACAATCTTTCCTTTTTCCCATGCGTTACCAATGTTATTAGGATTGTCTGTTGTCTTTGGGGACTGCGGCCCAAAATTTGGAGGAAAATGCTCATGTGGAGAGGGACAGTATCAGGAAAAGAATGAGCAATATATTGTCAATTGTACAAATACAGGATTCAACAACATATCAGTCCTCCAACATATACCTCCACAAACTCAGGTTGGTACTAAAAGTTATTGTATAGGACAAACTCAACCAGTGCATGGGAATAGAAAGCAATAGAACATCTGTGCACCAGAGCAGGATATCTAAAGAGCATGGATAATTTGGTTTTAATACTTCAGTTTCCCTTCATGTCATATTATTTCCAAATTACAATTCCTATTTGAAACATGCAGGGCTAAATCCAGGATTACATTTAATGAAAAGAGTTTTAAGATTCAATAAATGGTAGGCGAATTATAGCAAGATTTATAGATCAACCATAATTCTTAAAACAAGCATGACATTCTTTTTATGCTCTCCACAGAAGACTTCTCTTTTGGTACTTTGGAAGAGGAGAGAGATTGAAGCCTTCTTCCTAAATATGATCATATGCAATAAGGTTCTTAGCTTTGTTGACTGATTCATGGCTCTGTGCTTCACAGCGACTAGTGCACCGCCAGCTGCAAGTCACATACAAATTTTACCAAGGAGTCAGCATGGCCAGTGGCCAATAACGTTTGTAATTAAAGGAAGTTATGAACTTCATGGACTGCTTGATGGCATTATGTTTCACTGCCAGCAGTGCAATTCATGCATGGGAATTTGTTTATAATTTGTCAACATTGAGCAGCAGTTATTAGCTCCATCAGACATTTGTTATCAATTACAATTAGTGAGCGGTGTGTTCTACCATGGTGCTGTATACTTTAGAGCAACATGTATTTTTTTATGACTCCTAGGTTAAATACAGGTTCGTTAGAAAGTGTCAGCAAAAATTTCAACATAAATTTTGTGATGAAAGATTTCCCAGCAGACAAACAATTCATGATTTGGTGAACAGATTTAGATCATTCTGACTGTTATGGACTAGAAACAGAAGTATAAGTGCAAAATGCTTACTGAGGAGAAGTTAAATGACATAGGGGCCAGACTTGAACAGACACCTAGAAAATCACTGAAACGTCTAGCTCAAGAGAATGTACTGTCAGAGTCTAGTGCAAGAAGAGCAACACAACTGCTGAAGCTTAGACCCTATGAAACAACAATAAACCATGCCTTTCAGCCACTCAATCCAGTTAGTGGGGTTCATCAAAAGTGAGATGATCTGCAGTTGACATTCTTTTCTGATGAAGCATCGTTTCACTTGCAGGGATATATAAATATGCAAAATAATCACTGCTGGGGTTCACAGAACCCACATCCAACCCACAAAGCCCCACTCTATCCAGTGAAAGTTGGTGTCTGGTGTGCTGTAAGTGCAAGAAGGATTGTTGAACATATGTTTTTAAGGAAACAGTTCATTGTGAAAGATATGTACAGGCCATTCTCAGGAAATTCTTTTCAGAATTAACAGAAGAAACCTACAACTGGTTTCAGCTACTGCCCACACCGCACGCATGTCTATACAGGCTTTGTCCAGTGTCTTCGGGGACAGAATTTTTAGCAGTGGTATTTGGCCACCACATTCACCTGACCTTAATCCTTGTGACTTTTTCTTCTGAGGTTGTTTGAAGTACAAAGTTTACAACGGTAATCTTCGAATGGAAGAAGAACTAAAAGAAAATATTCGATGGGAAATTGAAAATATTCCTGCAGAACAGCTTCAAAGGGTAAATCAGAACCTGTTCCACTGCTGCAAGGAGTGTCTACATGTAGAGGGACAGCATTTTCAGCACCTCCTGTGATCTGTGAATTGTAACTACTTCACTCCAACATTATCGGCCAACAAGGATATTGATTCATCAACAAAATTCGTATGTGCCTCGTAGCTGGTCACTGTAAAGCACAGAGCTGTGAACCGGTCAACAAACGTAAGAACCTCCATGTGTATATGTGCAGAGCCTCAGTTAGTACAAAAAGGCCATGTAGGCTGTAGATTAACAAAATGGAAGTTGTATTTATGGGAACTCTCGTGTAAGGGAGAAGGCATAAGGAACAGAAAGTAGGTTTCTATCTCATTCAGTACATCAGAACTTCTTGGGTGGTCCAAAAAAGGAACAGAGGAATATAAATCACGATCCTGAATCCTGCAGTACATGCTTACAATATGTATTTGAAGAAACAAATGTTTCTCAGTGATACTTGATCAGAATTACACAGTTTGCTTGTCCAGAAACTTCCAGATTGAACTTTGTCCTGTAGTGAGTTACTTTGAAAACAGACCTTAAGGAGACATGATACCGTATTGTCAGATGTGTTAGTAATTCCCATTCTCACCACTGTAAGGCTGTAATAGCAGGACAGTTGCACACATTATATGGTATTGAGTCAGGAATTGTGTGTGCTAATTATTTACCTCCATCTTTAGACATATTTTGTTTTGTTAGCTTCATCAGCTTTATCATGCCTATCTATGTACATTTAATAATGCCAGGAAAATTAATGTATTCTGATTAAATATGATGTGGGTATTTACAGATTTGTATCAACCAATTCAAATTTCTAGTATAAATAATAAATATTGGTAACCTTTGGGTTCCATAAATTTTTTGGAAATTCTCAAGTAGCTGAGTGACTGGCAGCTTCCCAAGAAGGACTCTGTTCTGTTGAGTTATTTAGTTACTAAGTATTGGTAACCTTTGGGTTCCATAAATTTTTTGGAAATTCTCGAGTAGCTGAGTGACTGGCAGCTTCCCAAAAAGAACTCAGCTCAGTTGAGTTATTTAGTTAGCAAATATTGATTGTTACTATACATAAAAGCCTATATACCTTTCATAAGCACATAGTTCAATACATTTTGCCATGCTGTCAGAATATCAGTGCAAAATGCTAATGTTTCAGAAACTGTTACCATTGTGACTCCTGAGGATGGAAACAGAGGTTGTTAATAAAATTGTGGAATTTTATACTGCCAACATCACATGTCTTATAGACCAGGAAAATGTTATTTTATGATATATTTTTATGCAGTCCCACCTGCAACATTTTGTATTGCTTTCTCAAAATTCTTGTGACAAAATTCTAAGCTACATATGCATGATAGAAGTTGCATTGAACTTCTTTGCAGGCTTTGTAATCAAGGATTTATATCAGCACATTATATTTTTCTACTTGATTCACGCTGATAATTCTGCAGATTTGACTTTGTCTTCCCTTTGGGATTACAGTATTGTCACATGATAGGGTGTGACTATTGGCAGGTTTTGGATTGATGACCACATTCATTTGACGCTTTGATATAGCTCGTGACTACGCTTTACACTTCACTAATACACACACACACACACACAGTATTTGGTTTTTTGCATGAAGTCATTATTCTGTAAAAATGTCAATCTTCCTTCCATTTCCTGCATGTCAAATTTGACATTCTTGGGCAGTTCTAAGAACATAGAAATGGACTGGAACAATATCCCGTGTAATCCAGTAATATGTTCATGCACTTAATGGATGAGAAGGAATTACAGTATAATAAAATTAATGGTTTCTTAAAAATTCATATTCAGAAACACAATGAGCAATGATGAATATCAAAAGATCTGGAAGGCTAGTAAAAAATTCAGAAGAACTGTATAGTTGTAAATCAAATTGCTTAATATATGTTATAATCACAAATTAATTTATATTTTAGGTTCTGATATTCAGTGGCAATAACATCCCAGAACTTCCATGGAATGTTTTTGGGACTCTCAACAATTACAGTCGCCTTCGGGTAGTTGACATGTCAAATAATAAGATACGTGAAATTCGTGGTAAGTCATATCACAGGGTTGGAAATGTGCAGCGTCTGATCCTGAACCACAATGACCTTTCAATCTCATCAACCGATGGCTCCAGCCACCATCATCCAAGAGTATTTTCTAGTTTTATCAATCTTATGGAATTACACCTTACAGATGCATTTGCTGATAACACTCCGGATGACCTTGCAGCTGATTTACATGATATCTTTGTAAACAGCAATCTGACACAACTTACCAAACTTCATCTGGAACAAAATGAAATAACTGGCTTCCGAGACCCACAAGTCTTCTGTGATCTCCCAAATCTCATGGATCTACATCTTGGAGACAATCTTCTGAGAGGAATAGATTTCAATATTACTTGTTTGAGGCATCTTCGGTTTCTTGATTTGGAAAGAAACAGAATCTCTGGCTTTAACACTGGAGATTTAGATACATTAGACTCCTTCCCTTCACAGAATCAGAGCCTTGTCATTGACCTAAGAGGCAATCACTTCCTATGTGACTGTAATATTGCTGATTTGTATGCATGGTTACAGAAGACACAAGTTCAGGTACGAAACAAGGAAATGTTACGTTGCCACCGTGGTCTTCCAGAAAGCAATGGTGGAGAGCCAATTATGGATCTTCGTCAAATTCAGTGTGCTCCAAACAGAACAGCTATCGTTGGATCAGGAATGCAGCACAAAGCCACAGCTGTTGTTCTTGGAGTTCTTACAGTCATATTATTTGCCCTTCTAGCTGCAGTTGTATACATGAACCGAGTGCAAATAAAGTATCGTCTCATGCCAATACTAGACACAGTTTCTCGTAAAGTCCAGTACACAACCATTGGTAAACAAGATGAACCAGAGATGGATGTTTAATAAGATGAGATGGTGATGATAAAGCAAGTTTTATTGGTGAGGGACAAATTTTGTCGTTTAAATGACATATTCATGTGACATTTAAAATATTGGTACAAGTCTTTATTCTGAAGAATTTCTTACATCAAAAGGCAGAAGAAGAATTGGTGCTATAGTTAAACATTACACTGTGTTTGAAATTTCTTGTATTCTGCCATAACCATCAGTTTCAATTGTTACAATGTGTACAGTGCTTTTAAGTGTATGGCTGAGAATCTGAAACTGTAATCCACTAAAACAAATTGGGCAAGGTTTCATTCATATACCTTAAAGTGATTATCTGCTCCTGAAGATATTAGTGTCAAGAGTGGTGGAATTATATCAGTCCAAGAAATATCACAGAATTTGATGTTAACACTCATCAAGATTCCAGGCTGCCCTGTTTCATTTTATGTAAATGATAAACAGGGCTATTGCTTGCTTGACTTTCTTCAACCCTGAACATGCAGGCAGTACATTCCTCCAAAATGCTGATAAACTTCTATGAGACTACATGGTGTCACCTTCCAGAAGACATTACTTTTCACAGTCACTGCCAGGAGAGCCTCAGTTGTCACACACATGATGATTATACCTGAACATTTAGTAATACAAATTTTACTGGTTTTGGAAGTGATGGTAAGTTAAAGAAGAAGAGATAAATAATGAAGCTGCTTGAATATATATGTGGGTGGGGTGCTGATGCTTACCCATTGCATTATTGTTTTTTGTATTTGTATATTGTGTCTTCAGATTGGATCAACATTTCATTCAAGTGCCTTTGTGTGTCCATGCACTAATGTGTTGCTCTTTAGTGTCTCTTTGTTTGCATGTTCAGTAATTATGACTGGGAGGTAAAAAAACTCCAGTTTCATGAAAAATGTATATATTTTTTACATTTTGAAGCATATTTATCTGTAAATTTATCCCTTTAGAATGCTGAGTTCATAGTTTGACAAACATGTTTAATAATTGACTGAATAGGGTTTAGATGCCGATTCATAACACTATATACAAAATAACCTATATGCACAATACCTGTCAGAGCCATTTGGAAAACAGTATTTCATTTACCTAACTATAAGGTGAAAATTGTTCTTAAATTAGCAGGGGGAAATAGATGGGTTATCTTATAATCAGAAACAAGGCAAAACATTTTTCTACTCTGGATGTTTACATTACCAGTACTGCAAAGTGCTTAATAATCACACTGTGGATAGCTTTGCTTTCCATAGCATTAGCATGTATGGCTATCTAGGTCATGCCATAGCTCAAGCAGTTAGTCGCTGGCTTCCCACTGCGGCGGCCCGAGTTCGATCCTGGGTCTGGTCAAGTGGGATTTGTGGTGGACAAAGTAGCGCTGGGGCAGGTTTTCTCAGAGTACTTCGGTTTCCCCCGCCCAAATCTTCATTCCACCAGTTGCTCCACAATCACCCTCACATATCATCTGGGGCTGGTACAATAGGCCAGAAGTGGCCGCAGCACAAGGGACTTAGTCCCACCCCACTAGCAATAAAAAAAATAATGTATGGCTATTAAACTATATACCTTATTTCAGAACAGTATTAAAAAATGTCAGGGGGAGAAACTGTTTTCATATAAATCTGATTTCAATATATCTGCTCACTCAACTAAATACAGTATATATCAGACAGACAAATTAAATTGTGGTAAGGACTCATAATAATACATTTCTTGAAAATCCTTGTGCATTGTGATACTGTTCGATGGCATTGTCAAAATTTCACTCATCAAAGGCTTAAGTACTTAAAATGTGGTTATTTTACAACTTCTGTGGTTGTATGGTACTTTTATGTGACTACTACCTTAGAACCAGCCACCAGTCTGCAAAATCAAAACCATTTGTTCCTTAGTGTTAATTAGATCTACAGTCTTATAAGCAACGATTTTAATAAAACTTCTTAAAAGCTAGTCACTTTAAAGGTTTTTTATGACATGTTTCAACCAAAGTGATCATCAGGTTAACAGTTGTGGGTAAGGAAACTTCTGTCTTTCTGTGTAGAACTGATTAACACTAAGTGAAAAAGTGCAACAGGATGTTCCTGCTCCAGTTTTAAATACAACTGTGTTGTAAGAATTGAATTCTATATTTTGTGTGCGTATGTGCGTGTGCATGCGTGTGTGGGCACACGCTGAATAAGTTAATTTAATATTAATGGTCTTCCAACATGAGGACCCATTGGTGATCCCTCCATATCTAACAAACCACATGCATTGTGGTACGAACAGGGATGCTGATATGGAATTCCATGTCAGTATTATATAGTTTTATTGGGTTAGAGCTTTCTTTAAATTGCTAAGTATGTAATTAAATTCAGTCATAAACACTGCATGCTGCCTTTATTTATATTTTACATTTATGTACTTAAATATAAACTACAATGTAAGTTGTAATTTTAATTAAACTTGTTAAATAATTTAAATAATAGAATCCAGTTTTAAACACATAATTGCCTTAACTTGTAATAACAGCAATTCATGGCTGTTCCTACATTTCTTTCATTGTAACAACCAACAGAAAGATCTACCAGTGTTTCCTATATTGGGAGAAGTTCTGCTTTTTCATTTCTTTCAGATAAATAAGAGTAATATTATGCTACCAAAAAATTATGTAACACAATTAATTGAAATCAGTACTGAATAATTTTTCTCAGATATCATCTTGTATTGACTTCCTGTTAACAGCAATCCTAGGTATGGCTCTGTAAGTCATGTCAACTATCTGAAGTTCTGTCAGTTATTTTTAATATATATAACGCTGATTTATATTTTTAATAAATTATTAATAAGGGTTTATGCAGATGATACAATAGTATTTATTGTTTTTATTATGTAAAATCTTGCAGGACATGAAGTTATGGCACATGAGGAGAACTACAGAAGTTATTATACTGAAAAAGGAAGGTAGTTATGTAATATGAAAACTGGTATTCTTTAAAGAAATTATGTCCAAACACATTTACCCTTGGTATCTCCAGTTCGTGATTATGATAACTGCTGTAGTATTTACATAATATCAACCTTGACCTCAAGAAACTAAACTTCCTGAAGCCGTGGTCTGTTCCTTGGGAAGGAAGACTGGACCACTTTCATTGGATAGCTTTTTGTTTTTAGCACAAAAACATAAGATGGCAGAAATACCCTGATTTACTCTTCATAGCTTGTAGGTAAAACATTGCAGCAGTATATTCTTCCAACAGCTTAATATGGAAAAACATTAGGTAGTTATTATTCAATTATATGTACACCGTCAATAATGCAACAATACAACAACAGTATTGACGGTGTACATATAATTTAATAATACCTCAATGCAACAGGATGCTGAAATATAATATTAGGTAGTTATGTATGATGTTTTGTTGTCTTAAGCGCACATCTTATGTTGCTGTGTACAATATTTTCTTTTTTTAAGTGCAAGTGTTGTTTTGCTAAGTAATTTTCTTTATGAAGAGTATGGTCTTCTGGGTTATATGTATGTATGTATGTATGTATGTGTAAGGGTGGGCCATAGTACGTAATTTGGCCCTTGCATTGCGACCTTCAATAATCTATTGTGCTTCCCCTTTGAGTAACCCTTTATTAATCCTACACTTCTGATGAAATGTAGGACCCTATTTATGAGGGCATCATAATAGTCACTTGGTTCCAAGAAGTACTGGCCCAGGTGACAAAACCTTTAATAAGCTGTGGTCTCACAATCACATAGGATATGTATGGCTGATTCATATTCTTCTAGGCACCTTTCACAAGTTGGATCAACTGTCAGTCCCAGTTTGAAAATGTGTCCTTTAAGGTGACAGTGTCCTGTAAATAGTCCTATCACCCATCTTAACTGGTCTCTGTTTAGCTTCAACAGATCCTTCGTTCTTCTGGCTGAGGGCCCTAGTATAAATCCCTTTGTCTTAGTCAAATTATGGCGTCCCAGTGGTTTTTGTGAGATCTGTTCATCCAGTCCCTAACCGTTTTCTTGGCAACTCCAATTGAGATGCCGCAAGCTGGTTCAGGTCCTGTGAACGGATGATGATCTGTCATTTCATTACCCACAATACCCTCATGACGTGGCACCCATATCAGTTGAACTCTCTTATGTTCGGCCAGTTGTGTGAGGGACTGGTGGCAGTCCGAGACCAGTTTTGAGGTGATCTGGTGTTTGCCAAGTGCTTTCATTGCAGCTTGACTATCTTATGTAGTATAGATATTCCTATTTTTATAGTTTCTACATAGATTCTCAACTGCGCATGCCTTAATGGCATACACTTCTGCCTGGAATACTGATGTGTACTGCCCAAGGCTAAAGCTAAGTTTCCACCTTGATCCATGGCAATACACTCCAGCTTGTGCCTTTTTTTTTTTGTCTTGGAATCATCTGTATACCAGATTAGGCCCCCTTTTTGTCAGGTTGAAACCCCTTTTTCCATTCACTTCTATCAGAGAATCTGATCATGAAGGGTTTATCATAGGCATGTATCATTTTATCAGACCCCATCTGTAGGATGAGTTTTTTTTTTCATGGTTGTAACACTGCTGTACAGGAAGAGCTGCAGTGGTCCTGTCTGCACTGCTTCTTAAAGGATACCTATCTATACAGTATATATATTGTGCAAATACAGAAATACAGAATTATACGAGTATACACACACACACACAGTGTATGATCAAGTAGTATTGGGGGATGGTAGTACTGTGGGCGGTGGTGAGGAGGGGTGGGGTTATATATATATATATCATTCATTTGTAGACCCTTCTTGATTATGTTATATACATGAAATTTTTATATGTGTTGCATTTGGGCCCTTTCTTTTCTATGTGTAATATTTCCACAGTCTGGTCTAGTGTATCGTATTTGTGTCCTGTTTCTAGAATGTGTTGTGTGAATTTGGAGTTTTGTCTGTTGGCCTTAATGGCATTTATGTGTTCTCTGTAACAGACTTTGAATGTGTGTCCTGTTTGTCCAATATATTTAATTGGGCATTCACTGCATTGCAGCTGATACACGTGGTCTGACAATAAAGTTCGCAAACTCATCGTGGTGAAAGCGCTCCATACCACATTGCTTGGGAAGCTATGCACAGTTGCCAGCACCTAGTCCACCCTTCAACACAATTTTGGAACTGGTTATGTGGAATGGCCTTCAGAGCTGCTGTCATACAACTTATTATTCCTGATGTCGTCAATGTCATCAAAATGCCTTCCTTTCGATATTTCCTTTCACTTTGGAACAGAAAAGTCATTGGGGGCTAGATCTAGTGGATAGGGAGGGTGTTCTAGCAGAAAACTCCCTCACAGACAGTGTCGTGTGAGCAGGTCCTTTGGGACCATTTTTGCACATACCTTCCTCATGTCAAGATCTTCAGTTAAGATTTTCCTAATTGTTTCTCTGTCAGTGTTCGCTTGCTTTGCTATGCTTCTGACAGTCAGCTGATGATTTTCATGCACAATTTGACGAACTTTCTCTGTTTCTTCAGTTCTCATTACTGGCCATCCAGATCTCCCTGTCACTGACACTTTCTTTTACCTCAGAAGAATATGTCACCCACTTGTAAAGTGCTCTTTTCTTCATAGCATTATCCCTGTAAACTTGTAACATCCCTGATTTCACTTCCACTCTTGCCAAGTTTTACAATAAATTTAATGTTTGTTCTGGCATCCTCGCGACAGCACAGCAAATTACATTCAGACAGTAATAGATGCTACTCAAAAAGAGACTGCCATAAATCAACAACACAGCTGTGAAATGTTGATATGCCAACATCATCAAACCATACTGAGGTTTCTGCCCACTGCTGCCATGGCAATCACATGGTAAGTTCGTGAACATTATTGTCAGTCCTTGTACACCATGGCTCTGCTCATCCCCCTCCTGCACCATGTACTTTTCTGTGCATGCACAAATTAAAAACTGTGGATATATAAAACCATATTCCATGGCTGCCAAGTCTGGATACAGATAGAAAACCACAGATGCTTGAAATCTGCACTTGGCAGATATGCTGCATATAAAGTTTGGCATAACAGCTTACTTTTGGTGGATTGAATAACAAATTTAAATTTATGGACACTTTAGTGTGTTACTTTCTTCTTATAATACAGTTATAATTATTTTATGATATTCATAGTTAGAGTACATTCCCATTACTGACATCTTAACCACAACTAAAATTCACTAAGCAGGTCAGCACGATGGGAACATACATGACTCAAATCCTGGCAGAATCAGAGATAGTGCACATAAAAATCAATGAATAATCTGCCAATGTTTAGCACACATATCAGCCACACATTACTGACCCATTATCTATAAGAGATCCAAAGATCTCCCTGTTGTCAGACTCTGTAGTAATGATTAGGTAGAAACTGAGAAGAAATAAATACAGCAGGAAGGAAGCATAAAACTGGAAAAATAAACTGAGGAACTGTTTATGTTGATTTACTCAAAAATTGCTATATCCAGTGAACTGGTGAGAATGAAAACATTTTTGAGAGGTAATATACAGAACTGTATTACAACCTCTTACAAAAAAAATGCTTTTAGTATTATTGGGACACAATGCCTTACCAACCTAAATTAATGAAATCAAATCCCTCTGCATTAGTCCTTGATATATGGTTTCCCTTTAAGTTCAGCTTGCATGGTCTCAGTACAATTATGATAGTGTAAATTTTCTCAAACTAAGTTTCAACAGTTCTAGTGTTCTGTTCCCGCTAGGAACCTTATACAGGGATTTTCTTTTAAGTAGTTAGGCTGTTCAAAACTTCATGTTTGTTACTTTCTCCAATTTCGACCCCAAGATTTAGTAATGAAATTCACACCATAGCCAGTAATACAAAGAATATCTTCTCTTTTTGTCTCTTCAATGGGTCCTTTAATTCCATATTCATGGGAAAACTGATTACTTAATATGTGTTATACCATGGTTTCAATAATACTTGTTATTGTTTTCTTTAAGGAAACAGCATGAAAGGTGCATTTTGCAACAGTAGTTTATTCAGATGTCAACCTTACTATACCAAAGGATAAATTTATTTCTAGGATACAATATTCCTAAGAGTATTCACAGCTGTAATATGAAACATGAGAACTGTAACTCATTCAAAATCCAAAATGACAATAAAATTCTGTCTCCTTTTCATTTGTTTTAATCTACAGAGCCAAGACTTGATACAGTCTTCAACATATCATATTTCCTTACAGCAGCATCCCTGCAAGATGTATAGACATAAGTTCCATCAAAGGAAATATCATAAACAGGATCACAGTCAGGTCCTGTCAGCTGTACTCTCACATTATGACACCTTTCATGGCTGTTTCTGGCTGGAAGCTGGTGATAGACACAGCTACCATCAGCCTTCCCAATAAAGAATCCAGCTTCTTTAAATGGCAGAAGACAAAGGGCTGCACTGTTGGATTCATACCAACAGTATACTGGCTCAGTGGGTTTCTCAAAATCATAAAGAAGGATTTGACCATCTTGACATCCAATGACAAAATTATCAACTGACAATATTGTAACGCAATTTACTGCAGAAGAATGTGACTTTGAAAACAGATTCTGTCGACCCCGCACTGCCAAACAGTGCACTGTACCATCCTCACAACCCAGAAGCAAGATCTTATTTTCTGTACCCACTTCATGTTCACCTGAAAAGAAAAATTAAAAAAAGACTGTAATAATTTCCTAATTAACCCCTTTAGGGAATTGGCTGAGAACTCTGTAATGTGAATATCTGCCTCATAAGCACACACTAAAACAGTTCCAGTTAGATAAAGACGTTTATTTTTACAAGAAGATGTGAATACTGTATTTGCTATGTAAGAATGTGCCAGAACTATTCCATCTGGAACAGTTTTCTTTTTGCATGAAAGTGTGAATATTTGGCTTCGTACAATATAACAGAACATTTCCATTTGGATGCAGTGTTTTCTATTTACAAGAAAAGAAAATGTATTTTATACACCCACCAATAACATGTTACTGACAACTACTGTGTGTAGCATTTCTACTACTTCGTGTTTTTAAAACCCTGACATGTGAATTCAAGCTGGCTATCTTGACTCAAGTCTTCTTCAGTCTCTCCAATCAAATTCTGTATAAGATTTTAAACCTGGTGACAAATGCTTCCTTCTATATTCTTGTAAAATCACACTTCAGGGTGACACTGTTATTTTTCGTCAGATACTATGTGGTATCATTATATACAATGAACAGATGTCTACTATCTAGCACATAACACTTGAAATACTGTTACATTATCCAGAAAAGCCACTGCAACTTGCCACATACTTGGATTCTCCTCTGGTGCTGCAAGTTGCATTTTATTGTTAGCCACACCCAAACAACAGCTGTTGATTGTTGTACCCAGCTCCACAAGAGTTGCTAGGCAAGAGGCCTCACCACAGCTCCACAGCTTCGCTGTACCATCTCTAAAATTATAGGGACATATTCTTATCTGAGTCTTAATTTATCTTCCACCCAGTTAAAACTTTGAAATACTGCTTCATTTTTATCTTCCACCAAGTTAAAACTTCCAATTACTGTTTTATTTAATATTAATAGCATATGATAATAGTGAGTTGGCTGGTGCTCCCATGTGATGTTACAGTCAAATCATAAGAGAATTAACAGTAATATACATCAAAATACATGCCAGAAAAATTAAGCATTTTATGGAAATTACTGATGTTCACAATACAGTAAGTAGTTCCCTTGATTCTTGCATACACAGTAATTTCTAGTTCATTGTGGATAACACAATGCAGATTTGTTTGCAAGGTCTGTTTTATCAGATATGGAATATTTTATCTTACAGGTTCAAAATCTGTCCCACCAAACACTGAAATTTCATGCAAGCAACTCAAGAATAAAGCACACCTTATTACAGTTACTGTCACATCATGTTTTCTTTTGTGTGTGTTCTTGTGACTGTTTTGGCAAATGCAATTTACTAGGTAGAGTCCAGAATGTAATACACACTTAAAGGATCGAAACATACATATCTGAACAATGATCTGAGTATGCATGTCCCATAAAGACATATACTGTAAATTGTATGCAGAGAAAAATATTAGTTTATTTCCTCCTTCAAATTAGAAAAACAAGTATTATGAGCCAGGATAGCTCAATTGGTATAGTGACTGGCTACAGGTTGGACAACTGAGGGGTCAAAGTTTGAGTCGTGGTAGGGTCAAGAATTTTCTCTTCTTCACGTTGTCCAGACCGAGTCTGGGGCCCACCCAGCAATCTGTCCAATGGGTACTGGATGATCTTTCCCTTGGGGTAATGTGGCAGGGGCATGAAGCTGACCATTCACCTCCAACTAGTGGTGAGGTCAAGAAAATATGAATCTATACATCCATTACCCCATATATCTTCATGGTGTTTTGCTTAATTAGTTAAGCACATGGACAACTTTACCTTTATATTAAAAAGGAGAGATCAAGTATGTAATTATATGTGCCTTTTTCAGCCAGTACACATACTGGCAAACAACCGACATATACCAGCAGACTTATCAAAAGGTTGAGAGTTGCATATCTGCCCCAGCATACTGTGCATGTTGACTGTCTTCCTCATATTTTTTCATCAGAGTACCAGAAAATGTGCTTTTAGTAAAATCTGTGTATATGTGAATATCTTTTGTCATATTAAACTTGCTAAATATAGCTGCAACCTGATATGGCATTTTCCATTAATGTAACATCCACAGCAAGCGATTGCTACAGTTTCTATACAGAAGTTCAAACGTTTTATAGAGTATTATAAAACTTACATAAACTGAATTTAAAGAAGCACAACTTACTTGGAAACTGAAATAATGTTACGACCTTTGTCAACTATGCACATGTCAGTTACAGCCGCTGTATGGCCTCGCAGTGTGACAGGGCATTGCCCAGTTTCAGCTGACCAGATTTTGAGCTGCATGTCTGCACTGCCAGACAGCACCACTAATCCAGAGGGGAAGAAGCGACACTTGTATACATCACCTAGATGGCCCTCCAAGGTCCGCTACAAAGTACAATGTGTACACAAGTTGAAAGGCACAAGCAGAGGTCATATAAAATCACAAAAATATAAATTTCTGTAACATCAAAAAAGTTGAAGGCCAACAAAGAAAATAAAAGAGGCTTGAGATTGGTGGTGGTCAAGTGTACAACCATTCAAGTGACTAGGCAGCCATTATAACATAAGCTACATGAGTTAGAGCATGATCTACTATACCAAGCCTAGACTGAGAGGGGCCTCGTATATATTGTGGTACATTATACTAGAGTAGCACGTGAAACTGTAAATAGTAGGTATCCATAAGGAACCAGACTCTTTACAAATGACTGTAAAATACCAACATGTGTAACTGTAAATATACAAGTAGATAACGTACTACTGATTTTGACCATGGTAAATGACAGACTGATCCTCTCATCAGAGATGGCACCCCCACATCGACAAATCTGCAACTATCTGACAGTAAAAAAATCTGGACATGAGCTCCAGATGGGGCTTGACACCAAGACTAACTGATTGACTGACCACTGGCCGACTTTGACATTGCCTCAGTACTTGTTTACCAAGCCATTACCTAGCAGAGGACAGTTTCATCTGGCTCCATTATTCCAGCTTCTGAGTGTCATGTCACTATATGTTTCACAGGCTAAGTTCCTGTTCTCTTGTGTCCCATATGACCAAGCCCTGGCACAGTAGGTTTCAGCATCTACAGTGTGATTGCAAAACACAACCACTAATCTAAACAGGGGATTACTGTATATATTGTGGCATATTTGCTCAAAGCAAGAATTGTGGAACCAGAGGAACAGCCATTACTAGGCAACGGCTCTGTTAAGTACGCAACAATACCGGAGTCATTTATACGCAACATGCACAGGCAACAATGGGGCAGTTATTGAAAATGGTGTTTTCTATGTGGTCCATGCCAAGGCTACATAAGGAGTCAATTGTGTGTTGTGAGTTAGTCAGACGGGGGACTGAAGTTAGGTGCTGTGTTGTTTTCACCGTTCTAGAGTGTGCTGTGCCGCGTAATTTATACTTCCTGTGTCTGTGACGTTGATGTGGGCGNTCTCTCTCTCTCAACTCTCAATTCTGAGACAGTAAAATATGATCGCGAGTCCCAAGGGACTTGGACCCGAGAAAGACTGCGCTGGCAAGAGCCAGCAGCATATACAAAAGACAGACCCGTCCTCTCGTCAGAGAGGGTGCCCCACAGAAACAAGACCGTAACTGTCAAACGATAATAATTAATATCTGGTCATGAGTCCCAAATGGGGCTCGACACCAAGACTTACTGACTGACTGACCGTCAGTCGCAAAGTAACTCTGACTCTGACTGTGAGTTAGTCATTACCCCGTGTGGAGGCAGGGTCGAATACCTCCACCGTGACCCTGCAAGTTGTAAGAGGTGACGAAAAGGGAAGTCTCAATTCTGAGACAGTAAAATAGGGTCGCGAGTCCAAAGGCACCCCACAGAAACAAGACTGTAACTGTCAAACGGTAATAATTAATATCTGGTCATGAGCCCCAAATGGGACTCGACACCAAGACTTACTGACTGACTGTCAGTTGCAATGTGACTTTGACTTGTGAATCAGTGATCCCCATGTGAAAGCAGGTTTGATTACCTCCATGGCAGCCCTTCAAGTCATAGGAGGCGACGAATAGGGAATGCAGTGCCTCGGGGTATAACTGGGCCACCCTGTTCCTGGGTGATATAAATACAGGGACCTAGCCACCAGTTTTGGGTGGGGTCTTGAATCTGAGATAGTAAAATATGACAACGAATTCCATGGAACTCAGGCTCCAGAATGACTGCACTGGCGAGGACCAGCAGCAGTTGTAAACAACATAACTGTCCTTTTGTCTGAGAGGGTTTCCAGCATCAACAAACCTGCAACTGTCTCACAGTAATAAAAATCTGGTCTTGGGGCCCCAAATGGGTGCTTGACACCAAGACATTGGCCAACTGACCATCGGTCTAACATAATTTTGACTTCAACTTGTTAATTCGGCTCAGAAGTTGGAGGTTGGCAGTTGGAAGCCAGTTATTTCAGTTTGGGAGTTGCAGCTGAAAGATGCTAGTCAGCAAGGACAGAGGCTGTTGGCCATGGAAGCTACATCACTAAAAGTTGTTACCAAGCAACGTGACTGAGGATGCTAGTCTGTCTGTGATAGTGATGTGTGAAGTGTAGTCACAAGCTGTAAATATGTCAAATAAATCAAGTTAGCAATCAAAACCCATCTATCATCACTCAAACACATGATAGTATTTAGACTAAGTAGGATAATGTTTGTTGTAATGGTCATTCGCTTGTCACATCATTTCCATGGAAACCAAAAGCAAAACAAATCTCAGGTGCAGCAGGACGGGTATATACAGCATCATCAGTTGGTATTACAATGAGGACCTTTGCTGAAAAAGTCCCTTAGGCCATTATTATGATTATGCTTGTTCTATCAAGCTGCTCCCCAGGACCCTCTGAGTTCAAGTGTGGACTATACAGCGAAACTGTGACCTCAAAGTGTTTTTTTCAGGGGTATTAACATATCAGATCAATGGAAGAGCTATGTGTGAAAACCATAACTAGAGATGGTGTCAAATTATACGTATCATTAAATTTTTTATCAGTATTCCACTAATATTTCAGAACTGACGTATTTCACCATTCTGTTCAAAATTTACTATTAAGACTCGACAACATACTTGAGAATCCTGACTTACTCTCAAAAGACCTTGTCTAGTATCCCAGATTTGAAGTTTATTTTCAGTGCATACTGACACACACAAGTCCCCAGATGTAGCATCCAGTGATTTTACCTGTAATTGAAAAAATTATTAATGATGCTTCAATAATTTTTAACTGTGTCATGAAGTTTAATTATTTAAATGTTTAATAACAAATACCTGAGGGTGTATAAGACAAATGATAAAACAATTTATGTGCGACATGCTGAACAGTTACGAGAAATTAAAAAGAAAATCTGAAGATGGTTGCTACATTATGTACTACAAACTGAATGGTTTGGGGTTTATGTTGCGATTCTTCTCACTATTATCAAATCAGAAGTGCAACAAGGCTCACCCAGCCTCGAATATAACANTAAAAAAGAAAAGAAAGAAGGCCCCGCCAGCCTCAAATATAAAGGGTTTGGGGGGGGGGGGGAGTAGCTTCAATATACTTCACATTCTTCACTTGCCTCCATCCAGCACTGCAGTCAAAAGTTCATGAAGTAGTAACTAAATGTTTCTTAACCTTAAGAACAAAAGTTGGAACTGAAAGAAATATACTATGGTCCTAATAAATATATTTATCAAACACTACCACCTACACTTTTTGAATGTATTCCAGTAAAAGTACTAAAAGGTGCAACAAATATGCAAATATTCCCAGACTCATGGTTCACTTGGATTGTGTTTCGCGAAATTCCATGAACTGAAAAGCCATCTGTTGTCGTGACACGAGGAATACCCTCACTGGAAAGACCTTGGCTGTATATCTTCCCCTGTGAGCTGGGCTGACCTAAAAAAAAAAAAAAAAAATTTAACTATGAATGCACTGTAAACACTAAAATTTATGCTGTAAAATTTGAAATATAATTACCTCGAAATTTGCACGCAACCCAGACCTCTGTGTTTGGTCTTCTGTAAACAAATTTAGAGAGACAATTAGGCCTCATACACAATCATGCTGATCTTTAACAACTGACACTTAAAATTAAACTGAAACTTATTACATAGTTGGTTTTCATTATAGTGAATAGTTCTGTGGAAAACTGGTTCCACTATGTTAATGTACAATTAGAATTTAACATCTGCACTTTTTTATTAAACATTCAAAGGCAGAACTTTACAGTGCAGTCACCCTGACTAACTTTAGTGACATTAGTGTTAGAGCTGGGTCACAACTGGTATGTTGTGATTGGAAGTTGTCTTTCAAACAGTTGAGTCAGCAAAACCACTTTCATTCATTTGTCAAAGTTCCACTATTTTATTCGCCAAGATTTTGAAAACAAAAATGTTTACCTAATTACGTCATCCCAATCACTCTGAATTGAAATAACAGGGGCTGTTATCTGAGTAGGATTTTCACCAGGCATGAGTAGAGGTTATGTATCCTTCCAGTGTGATGATGAATGCTGGTTAATATGCATTAAAAAACATACGCTTTGTAATCAATAACAATGTGGCCAACTTTCACACATTGCAGAATATAGGCTACGTGTTGAAAGATTGATGTATCATAGATGGCTCTGCTGTATATAAACATGTGGTCAATGCTAGGAATCAATAGGAATAGTTTGATCTCCGCTTATATTTGACAATTTAGGTAATCTGTTCTTATTAGCGGGATGTCTTACTACAATATGAACGCTCTGAAGTTCTACTAAATTGTTCAAATACTTTACTTTCATAAAGAACGTGGTCTGAATTTTAATAGGAATAGTAAATAAAATCGGGGCGTGAAGCTATCCCCTCACCACCATCTAATGCCCATATCAAGAAAACTTGTATCTGCACATACACTCCCCCATTCGCCTTCATGGTAGTGCTTAATTAGTCAAGCACAGGGATAAATCTGCCTTGTAGAAAATAAAAATGAACTATGTACATTGGCATTTAATTTCATCCATTGAAGTCTCAAAGGTATTCTATTTGAATACGGATCCGAACTTTCCGTACGAATTTCCTGTTCAAGTTCCTGAATGAGCCATCTCTGTCATCTTCTTCTGATGTCGTTCTCTAAATAAGCTGCAAATTTTCCTTGTCTGAGCTCGCAGCGGTTCATATGAACCTCGCGCATGGAGCACCAATGATCACCATCGATCACATGGTTCAATTCATAACTTAGTGGTTTGCAGATGGAATGTAAATGGGGGTCCGTGTTGTGGGACTCCGTTGGTAAATGTAAATAACCGTGGACGTGGCAAATATGAGCATGGAGTGGGGAAGAAATGCGTGTAATTGAATGGTGTATACTGAGACCGAACTTGACAAATAGTTTATGTGCAGCCAAAATTATCCGTAATATGTCATTTGTGACCGACCGTTTTCAAAATAACTATGATGGCAACTGAAACCATATTGTAACGCATTACAGATTCCTGCATTGTGACGTAATAGAGGTGTGTTGTGCTCGCACAGTTAGTGTTACAGTTAGATTTGCTATCAAGGACACCTGGTGACATTGGGAAAGTATTGTCTGAAGTGGAAAACGAGGTTAAAACAACACATGCAAATTCACATTTGTGTATGACTTGTTGATAATAAAATGGATCGGATTGAAGAAAATATTAGACGTCTGTTGGATGGGCGAGCACTAGAAGACTCCCAAGATCTCTGTGACTTCACACTAGAAGAACAGAATGAGGCAGCAGGTAATTTAAATTAAGTTTGAAGTTTGGGATGTTCTTACCTACAAATGGACACTTTTGGTCTAAATTGTTTGATTGCTCTTAGCTACCAGTCAGTACTGGGACAAAATGCATCAATGCAGTGTTCATATGAGAAATATATAGCACTCATACATTCATTAATTCCCATTCCCTCTAATGCTGATTTTGCTTGAAGTCTTCAGTTGGAGAGATCCTGTAGATATATAAGGGAACGTGCACAGATGCTTGTTACATATATTTACAGTGGAATTTACATTTACATTTATTTTGACTTAATGGATCCACTCACCTCCCCGTAGGGCTGGATATAAGACATGTCACACATTATAAATAAATAATGACTACGCTTCATACGTCTTTGGTCCAATAAAATATATAATTAGGCCTCATGAAGACAGCACAAGTTGTCAAGACTACACACATAGGCCGTGGAAAAACCACTGTCACATTCGACCCTGAACAAAATCCCTCACATTTCCAACCATAGCAACTCTATGCTGCACAATTGCACACATTGACCAGCCATATCCTCAATACAGTTTCATTGTAACATATTAAAATTCATAACAAACATGGACATCATACATACTACCACACTTACAACAAGCAAGTTTCAACAAAGTATAATACAAGCACACAGACCATTTATTAACTCTTAACTTTTGAGCCCCTTGCATGCTCGACAAATTCGTCAATAGAGTAAAATGAGTTACTTTGAAAATAATTTTGTAAAACAAACCGAAATTGATTTTTATCATTTTTAAAGCTGAGGTATTAAGTTTTTTATGTCATTTAGTATTATGAGTTGGAATAACTTTGGCTGGAATATAATTATGATCTTTTAAAATGAAAATCAATAGCATCTCATTCTAGGGTCCTTGATGGTATGAAGCATGACATAAGGAAGTTTACCACTGTTCAAAGTGTGCAGATTTATAATTGGTTTTATGTGTGTGCTCACTGTTTTTAGGGACTAAAGTTAGAAAATTTCACATGACTACATATTAATGTTACTGTCAGTTTTATTTGAATTTAAATATGGCCATTCTAAACTTTATTTTATTGTTTCAAAGTCGAACACTTCAGAAATATGAAATAGTGTGAAGAGTAGCAGTATGTTGAATGTCAGAATAAAATTTCCATTATTAACATGTTTTTTTTTTTCAGGCAATGCACAGTGTCATAATTATGAAATTTGATTTTATATAATGTTTAATTCCCTTAGAAAAAAATAGAAACTGTGTTCTCCTAGCAGGCCTTTGTGTGTAAGGGAACAAAGTAGTACTTTTATGTCATTGCAGGACTTTTAAATCTCATGAAATTGCTGCAATTACATGGGCCATTAACTTTTATGGCAACTTGTAAGTCATTCAGATAACGTGCTATGGATGTACAGTAATGCAGACGAAGAGTTCTTTCTGTCTTCTGGAATGTGAAACTGTATAGTCAGATAGATATTTACTGATGTGTCAGAGGAATGTGCTGAATTGTGAGCTGAATGTGGAAATTGTGGTATGGATATAGAAAGAGGAAATACCAGGACCAGGTCCCTGAGTAAATCAAGGGCAGTACAGAGGCATGCACATCACCCCCCTTTAATTCACAGTTCCATTTTTAAACCGGAAGACAGAGACCATATGTTCCTTTGAAACATCAGAAGGTGTCTACCAATCTACTAAGTGTCATCTCAGAAGACAATAATCTTTATACTCACTGCTGAGAGAACCTAAAATCTCTCACAGTAAAAATGATATTTGGGATTTTATGCTATTACATTTTCTGCTTAGTTATTGCTGAATGAGATTGGTAGCGTTCATTTGTCATGTAGAAATACAAGAATTTCAAGTAGTGCAGTACTTCATATGAGCTGGTGAAGCTGAGTTGATATAGATGCTAGTCTCTGGTTTGGATGACTGAGGAATCAGAGTTAAATAATTGACAAGGGCAACAAATTTTCCTCTTCTCCATGGCATCCAGACCAACCCAGCCACTTTACTATCCAATGGGGACCAGGGGCTTAAGCTGTGAAGTGGCCAGAGTGTGACATTAACTGCTCACCTCCATCCGGTACCAAGGTTAAGAATGCATAAAGCCATTCCCTATATATATCCAGTGCTTGAGGTGGAATGAAAATAGAACAGGGATGCCATCCTGCCGCATCCCGCCCCACCTCAAGCCCTGGGTATTGTGCATTGCATTTACTGCGAAAGAAGTAACAGGATGCTTTTAAGCCATTTAGAAAAGAACCGGGATGCCATCCCGCCGCATCCCGCCCCACCTCAAGCCCTGTATATATCTTCATGGTGTGGTGGGGAAGTGGATGTATAGATCCATGTGTTCTTTTAGCTGGAGGTGAGTGGTCAGCTTCACACCCTGGCTGCTTCCCCTCTAGAGAGACAGCTGCTGGTACCCATTGGATAGGAGGCTGGGTGAGCCCCATAACTGGTCTCAATGACATGGAGAAGAAAAAAATGACAACTCTACTGGGACTCAAACTCTGACCCCACGGCCATCCAGATCATAGCCAGTTAATTATACTAACGGTGTGATCCTGCCTCTGCCTTCTCTCCTCTCCGCTCCTACCGGATGTCATTTGTATTCTCACTGTGTTTGCTATCTCATTGTGCTTGTGGTACTGACAGGCGGAGGTGTGCAATCTAGATAGAATGGGAAAGCAAATGACTGACTTAAATTCTCAGCACCAATGTTCACTCTTGGCCTAACCCACATATAACTAGTTTAATTGAGCATAATTATTCATGAAAATCCAGTTATTACTGAGTGAGTGTTCCACTTTTTGGAACTCATGGATTTCATTTTATTTATTTATTGCATTCTGTCAATCTATATAAGGTTAAACCAACCTATTGGATATAGAATCTGTCATGTTTAAACATAAAATAAAATATGCATTCATAACCATGTTTCATACTCTCTGATATCTATTTTGTAAGTATGATCTCATTAACTTATTTACCATGCCCGAGATTCCATAGAATTCCATTTTTTCCAGGAGTATGTTGTGGTTAACACTGTCAAACGCCTTTTGTAGGTCACAGAATAAACCACCAACATAATTCTTTTTGTCTAAAGAAGACAGTATATTATATAAAAGAATGTGTGTTGCCATTTCAGTAATGACTTTTCTCTAAATCCAAACTGTTCAGTGACCAATATATTGTGCTTATTTATATGGAAGTATAATCTTTTATAAATAATTTTTTCAATAATTTTGGAAAAAGTTGGGAGGAGCGAGATAGGCCTGTAATTCATAAATTCTGATTTATCACCCTTCTTGTATAATGGCTTAACTTCTGAGAATTTCAGTCTATCAGGAATTATACCTGTTTGTAGGATCTTGTTAAATATGTATGTTAAGGGTGATAAGATACGGAGCACTAAATTTGAGAATTCTTAATGATATCTCATCATATCCATGAGAGTTCTTAGGTTTTGGTGAAGATATTTTTTCAATTTCATGTATATTCATATTACTAAGTTTCATAGATGGAAACGAATGATAAAAATTCTGATGTAAATAAGATAAAGAATCTTTATTATTAATAGTGGCTTTCCCCGAGGAGTTTTTGATAAGTAATTTTTCGGCTACAGATAAGAAGTAATCGTTAAATGCATTTGCTATAGCTAGGGAGTTACCAGATAGTTGTCTTTTTAAGTTCATTGTAGTTACATTCTCATTAGGCCCTTTATTATTAGTAATGGTTTTTACTATATTCCAAGTAGTTCTAGTCTTATTGTAAGATTTTAATAAAAGTTTATTATAATAGTATTTTTTTTTTGCTGTCATAATAACCTTGGCTAAGATTCGACAATATTTCTTAAAGTGTTCTTTGATATTAGGATCATTGCTGTTTCTATAAACTAGATAAAGTTTCCTTTTATTAGCGCATGATGTTCTAATACGGGAAGTTAGCCATGGTTTTAGTTAGGTTCATTTAAGGGTGATAAGATACGGAGCACTAAATTTGAGAATTCTTAATGATATCTCATCATATCCATGAGAGTTCTTAGGTTTTGGTGAAGATATTTTTTCAATTTCATGTATATTCATATTACTAAGTTTCATAGATGGAAACGAATGATAAAAATTCTGATGTAAATAAGATAAAGAATCTTTATTATTAATAGTGGCTTTCCCCGAGGAGTTTTTGATAAGTAATTTTTCGGCTACAGATAAGAAGTAATCGTTAAATGCATTTGCTATAGCTAGGGAGTTACCAGATAGTTGTCTTTTCAAGTTCATTGTAGTTACATTCTCATTAGGCCCTTTATTATTAGTAATGGTTTTTACTATATTCCAAGTAGTTCTAGTCTTATTGTAAGATTTTAATAAAAGTTTATTATAATAGTATTTTTTTTTGCTGTCATAATAACCTTGGCTAAGATTCGACAATATTTCTTAAAGTGTTCTTTGATATTAGGATCATTGCTGTTTCTATAAACTAGATAAAGTTTCCTTTTATTAGCGCATGATGTTCTAATACGGGAAGTTAGCCATGGTTTTAGTTAGGTTCATTACCCTGTTCACAAGGCCCAGCTGGACTCTATGCCAAGTGGGATGTTTCCAGTCCACATTTTGAGTAATTATGTGTTACAGTTGCTAAAGGTGTTGCACCAACTGCATCTTCAGACTACAGACCCATAGTAAAGTCTACTGTGACCTATATTGTTGTGGGGGTTCTTATTAATGATGTCGGAGAGGTGTTAATGATGCAGGAAGCCAAAAGTTCATGTGCTGGGAAATGGTATCTACCTGCTGGTCACCTTGAGCCTGGTGAAGACATACTGGTATGTTCTGAAACAACTGTGATACTTGAAGCTCATGTAAATGTTTTCAAAATCTGTGTTTCTGCAAAAGAAAGATTACCAGTAAGAGGAAATTTGTATTTAGTGTTTGTAGTAATGCCAATGTCAGTAAGTAGCTAAGTCTCTGTTTATAGAAAATGGAGGTTTAATAGTCCAGGTATTAAAGGTCATCTATTTCATACTATCCTGAGCCAGTTCAGTCACGTCACATCCTACAACTTATTTATCTAAGAGGAAATTTAATATTACCCTTCATGTTTTTCCCAGTGATCACTTTCCAAGGAATTATATCATCAAAATTCTTTCAAAATTCAAAATTCAAAATTCTGTCTTTCAAAAATTGTCTGTTCTTGACCTTTATTAAAAAGGTATAGTCTGCTTCTCATGTCTTCATTTTGATATCCCCCATTGAAATCACTTTATCATTGCTCAGTTCATGGTTATCAAAGCCAGATATTTTATGCTTTCCTGAACATTGGCTACACAAGGATCAAATTTTCTTATAAATAATGACCAATATAAATTGGCAGATAGTTTCTTCAGGGATAAAGATAAGAATATCATTTTAGTCATTTTGTAAAGGAGACATGATGGCATACAGTGCAATGGTTTGACGTAAACAAAACCACACCTGAAGATGGCACATTAGTGCCGAAACATGTAGTGAAGAGAAAGGTGAAATTGTATGCACTGGAAGATGGTTGGTACAAATACACATCATGAACGTGTTTTCAACTGACTTGTCCAGTTGTGTCTGTGTAACAGTTATGGTTGATAAATAAATTATCAGTTATCTTAGGTACATCAGGATGGACACTTGCATTCATTTTCTGTCGTTTAGTATACTCCCATTTCATAGCCATATAGGTCATCAGTGATCATGTTTGGTGTATAGTGTTTCAGTTGTATATCTGTCAAGTTTTTTTGATAGTAGTGTTATGATTATTTAATGATTTGTTAATTTTTGTATTATATTATATAGGTTAACGCATGAATAAAGATGTAAGATTTGAGGCTTTCACGGTGGTGACTATGAAGAAAGCAGTCTTCTGGGATTTGGCACCGTGTATATGTGGTGTTAACCGACGTTTCGGAGGCACGTATCGCCTCCATCTTCAGGGTAGAAGGAAAAAATATAAGAAATCCGCAAGCGAAGAGACCTTTCCTCCGAAACGTCGGTTAACACCACATATACACGGTGCCAAATCCGAGAAGACTGCTTTCTTCATGAATAAAGATGTTAACATTACTGTAAAATATGTGTGATGTTTGAGGTATACAGTGTTCCCTCTCACATATGATTAGATGAAAAACTTTGATCTGATATATACTAACATATATTTTGGTAACTGGATTTGCAGTATGTTACATATTTGTGTTTTGCATGCTGTTCAGGAAGGAGTAAGGAGGGAAGTGTTAGAGGAGACAGGACTTGTGATGGAGCCCACAACTCTCCTTATGGTGGAGTGCGCAAGTGGAGCCTGGTTCCGTTTTGTCATAACTGGGGCTGTAACAGGTACATTCCGCCATAGGGTATAAATTTATAATTCAGCATAGTTTCACATGATGTGACTGTTTAGCTGTAATGTTTGAAAATATATCAAATGCATTTAAATTGAACATTGTAAACAGTGATAAATATGTATGAGACATGGAGCTGGGATAGCTAAGTCAGCATAGCAACTGGATACAGGCAGAATGGCTGAGGAGTTAGAGTTCGAGTCCCTGTAGCGGCAAGATTTTTCTCCTCTTCACATCATCCAGACTGGTTCTGGGGCCTACCCAGCCTCCTATCCAGTGGATACTGAGGGCTCTTTCCCTGGGGATAAAGTGGCCTAGGTGTGAAGCTGACTACTCACCTCCAGCAAGTGCTAAGGTCAAGAATACATGGATCTATGCATCCACTCCCCCATACCTCTTTATGGCGTAGTGTGTAATTGCTTAATCAGTTAAGCACAAGGACAGCTTTACCTTATGTATGAGACACATTGCTTATAGAGTAAGAGCTTCTGAAATAAACAAAAACTTGAAGAACAAGAGATTTTGTTTTTAACTTGGACAGCAGAGACAGACACAAAATTAAAAAATTTTCTGCAAACATGGCTTCAAACCAAATATCATATTAGTGTTAATATGTAAGAAAATGTAGTTTGGGGTTGTGTATGTTGGCCTTATGGATATTAGTGTGTTAAGAATAAGACGCCTCACCCCCTCATTAGATCAAGTTTTGAAGATGGAGCCAATATATTCTCTGAAATGTGTCAGCCTAGACCACAATTTGAACAGGCACCACCAAGAAAAGCTCATGAACCTATATTATTATGTCCCTTGACATACCAAGACAAGTTATTTTCTGACATTCCTCACAGTACTGTAATTTCAAAACTTACATCATCATGTATCTGCGAATCTTGAGAATGGATACATCATGTTCCTCTAAAGCTTCAGTATCTACATAGAAGACTACACAGTTCCACAACCTAGAAGACTACACTTTAGATGTAATGGTGTGGGACTCACCTACAGTACTTCACAAGGCAGATAAATTGCTTTGGAAGAATTTAATAAATTATGAAGCGAACACTTCTATTTGGATTGTTTCATAGGTGGATCCCTGAAAACACCAAAGGATGCTGACTCTGAATCTCTCCAGGCTAAATGGATAAAAGATCTTGGTGAACTGAACCTTCGTTGCAGTGATATTCATACAATAATAGAGAGAGCAAGGAACTATCATGTGAGAAAAGATGAGCCTTGGCATGGCTGCATTTTGCCTGCAGTAAGGCCACATCACAAACTGCTGCTCCAGCTTGTTGTCTGCATTAGGAAAAGAAGCAAGTACGAATACCATGTTGTTCCCATAAAAGTTCCTGCATTTTTCTTTAATATAAATTTTGCAATGTAAAATATTTAAAGAGTTCTGAATACAACTTCTTCTGCTGTAGCCAATAGACAATATAATCATAATCCTTTGCATTGGCATGAAATTTTTCTGCTGCTCTTCATATTGTAATCATTTAAATCTGTAGTGATATTATTTTCATTGGGGTTTGTTGATATTGCTACTCGAATTTTAGTAATATTTGAAAACAAATTATTTATCAGTATATGATCTAAAAGGCTGTTACTTTTTAGTTCAGGGAATACAATTGTTGTTACATCATTCGGTGACAATTTGAAATATAGAAGTTAGGGTCTTTGAAACTGGGTCACAGATTTACCTAGCATGTCCCAGCATGGTTTCCACTGCTTTATATTTGAGTGGTTCCAGGTTCAATTCTGGTCTAGAGGCATGCTTTTGTAAACTAAGGTTTTTTATAGTTTTGTAGAGCTGCTCCAGGGAAATGTTGGGGAAGTATCTCAAGTGAGCCACGATTACCACTGTCCACATTCTTCGTGCTTTTTAATTCACAGTCATCCTCTAGTTTGATGCTCACTGCTCACTGAAAGACTGTCATGAAATAAGCAAAGAAACATTAACGTTATGTTTCCCTGTAGAGATGCCATCTCATCTCACAAGGCAGTTATCAGATTTTAATGTTGTGCATTAACATATTGTCACACAATTGAGTGACTATAGATGGGGTTTGGGTTGTCAGCCACATATACGGTACTGTTGCAAGGTCTTCTCTAAGGGTTTTTTTTTCTGGCTGATGCTTTAAAATTATCATAATGCTTTCAAGAGTTTATTGGCGTATTGAAGTATACAAACTGTAATTTTAAATCCCACATCACTAGACTTTTAGGATTAATACACTTATGTTCACATTTTATAATTTATCCATTTTTCCATGGAAATTAAAGTTTGTATTGAAAACCTCATGCATATAAGTGACCTTATTTATGTATTTATTACATTTTTAATTTGAATATGTTTAACAGTGTTCTCTTTTCCAGTAACCGTGTTCACATTCTCTTATCTGAAAAGACTGAAGTTCATTTACCAGTCTGTGAAATAAATCCAACCAGAAATCTTCATTCAACGCTGAAGAAGTTCATGACTGTAAGTTGCTTATGTTATTCAGTTTTGGAATTATGGATACTATTTTCATTAACACATTAGCCAGGAGTATATTTTGTAGATGTGATGGCAAACATACATGACAGGTTTAATTATTTTGAAGTTTGTTAATCATCATATGAAGTCAGTGTTGGAATCTGTTCATTGGTGTAGAAATAAAGTGAAGTAAGAAAGTAAAGTTATCCCTTGGCTTAATTAATTGAGCTGTACACCATTAAGATTTATGGGGGAGTGGAGGTATAGCTCCACCATTCATAACCTTGGCACTAGATTAGAGGTGAGTGGTCCGCTTCATGGCCTTGCTGCTTTACCCCTGGGGAAACAGCCTCTTTGCTCACTGGATGGGAAGCTGAATGGGCTGCAGAGCTGGTCTGGATGTTGCAGAGCAGAGAAAAATCAGTTTTTCTTGGAATTGAACCCCAACCTGTCAGTAATCCAGCCCATATCCTAGTTCTTATGGTAACTGAGCTATCCTGATCCTAGTAAATAAAATACAGCTTTTAAAATTGACGTGTTTTGCCAGGATCCATTAATTTAACTACAGGTTGAACCTTTCATATCTGGTACCCCTGAGACCAGACTGAAGCCAGACCAAAGAGTTTCATGGACCAAGGGTGGTCAATATATTATGGTGCCAAAACACAGAAATAAGCCATAATGACACAGTATTAGTGATCTTACACAATATTAAGGTAGTGGTGCAAGGAAGAAAATACAGTGTTGGCATTTACAAACATTTGAAGCCATATTTAGGGGTCATCTGGCAAACTAAACTTGTACAAGACCATGGAATGCTGGATTTGAGAGATCTGACCTGTATTATGGTTCTAGTGGTGTTGCATTGTAGGCTTTATATGTTGAAATCCATTTAATATACATTACAAAGAGTTCAACAAGCCTGCAGAAATTAACAGTCACTTGAAACAGAATGACATTCACCTGCAAGTAAGGAGACTACCAATTAAATTAAAACTTTTAAATTTTATTAATAAATTGAAGATACAAATTCTTTATCCTATTCTGGAAAAATTGTAACACCTGTTAAGAAAAAATTAATGAATTTGAACAAAATGCCATGTGAAAAAATTATGTTTTAGACTTTTTTCTTTTGTTATCTAAATTAAATTTTATTAGGGACAAAGGGTGGGAATTTATAGTAATTCCATAACTTACTATACCTATTTTGCATCTGGTTATAATCTCATGTAGCACATTTATGACCCTTTTAGGAAATATTTGGCGCAGACCTTCCACCTCACAAACCTCATGGTATTTTGTCCGTGGAACATTGTGGAAAGCCTGAAGCAACAAATGATGGTCTATGCCTTACTCTCCTTGTGTCATTTCGGATACCTCTGGAAGAAGTCGGTATCATCGACAAATACACTTGGCTAGAGGTGTCCAAGCAACTGGGAGATGAGCTACTTGAGAGGCTGCCCAGAAATATGGCTCTCCCTCTGCATGTGATTCGGTAAACAGAATACACGTTATGGAAGATACTGCTGTTATGCTAGGAAGGCTACTGACTGGTTAGCATGTTGTCTGTTTCATCTCATCCATAGATGTATGATCTGTTATGCCAGCTTATGTCTTACACACTTGCCAGTTCTCAGGCATACTCAGTCTCAGAACAAGAATCTGTATTCAGACTGTAATGCATTTTTACTTTAATTTTTATAGGAAATGGTAATTGTCATCAGCAGCAGCTCATGGCTGTATGAATAAGTAGGGCCAGGACTGAATCCCCCCATCCCACCCCATAATCTGTGGCTGAACGTCGTACTCCTCTTGGTAGAAATACTGGGTACAGCAGTTGGATCTGAAGGATTTAGGCATTCTGTTCTGAAACTTGTGTAACAAGAATGAAAGGAACTATAACATTTGAACAATGCAATTTATTTGCCTAATAATTACTCCTTAAAATGGCACCAATCAAATGTTCTCCATATGCCTCACTATTGTAATCTGTCATGAAAATAATTCATCACACACCGCTGCAAGTCTGGATTTATATTAATTTCTTTGATTTTTTGTCTTATCATGTTCTCTAGTTCTTGAATGAGATGTGGCCTGATTTTGAAACACTCTTTCTTCAAGACATACTCAGAGAAAAAAATCGTGAGCTGAAAGATCTGAACACTGAGGAGGCCATTGAATATTGCTAAAGCAAGAAATTATTGGCCAGAAAAACATTTCTCAATAAATTTATTGTCTCTCTGGCAGTATGGGTAGTAGCAGCTATAGCCATGCTTCATTCCTGTTGACTTCTGACCTTCGCCATTCCTCAAATAAAAATGTTTGTAATGTTTCGTACTAGCTTTCACAATTTTTTTATTGCTAGTGGGGTGGGACTAAGTCCCTTGTACTGTAGCCACTTCTGGCCTATTGTATCAGCCCCAGATGATAGATAGGTGAGGGTGATTGTGGAGCAATTGGTGGAATGGAGATTGGCAGGGGAAACCAAAGTACTTGGAGAAAACATGCCCCAGCGCCACTTTGTCCACCACAAAACCCACTTGACCAGACCCGGGATCGAACCCAGGCCGCTGCGGTGGGAAGCCAGTGACTAACCGCTTGAGCTATGGTGCGGCCAGCTTTCATCATTTATCATCGCAGCTCTTTCATTTTCATCTTCAAAAAACAGGGACAAATAATTACTCTTGCCAACATTGCACAACACATCACTTATTACTACGTAATGGCCATTTGTGAGTGCCATAGGATTTATGTCATCCAAGTAAAAATAATTTTGTTTGTTGCCAGAGAAACTTTAACAAACATGAGCTTTGTTTGACATAAATTATTCAAGACATTCACATTTTCTTGAAGCATGGCATTGAATTTGTTAGCAAAATGTAATCGACTGGTCATATCTTATGATTTTAACTCTTGAGTAATTTGAATCTTTGATGAATGAAATCCTAAATCTTCATGCATAATTTGACAGAAGCTTCAGTCTGATAAGTTAAAGAGAGTTGCATGTCTTAACACAGAACATCTCAGACCTTGCTGGACTACTAACCTCACATTTTCTGGGGTGAGAGGAGTATGTTCACTACTTGAAAATCAAAGCCTTACACTACTGTGTATTGTGGAGGAACATAACTGTGCTCATCAGTGCTAAAACCACAGCAAAATTTGCGATGAGTAGTGATAATTGATATTGTCTCAGGGTATGAAATTAACACATATCCACATATGTATACTGACCAGTTGTCCATGTCTGACTAAACTTCAGATGTTCACGGCCAATAGAGCTAAGCCACAGATCACCCCTACTATTCCTCCCCATCTTACAGCGTTGCCAAACTCATCCATACAATGGATCAGGGAAGGATTCTGACCGTACTAGGCCCGTATCTACCTACACATTGATTGCGCAGGTGGACAGACAGATTGGCACTTCTGTTGAAATAAACACACACACACACTGGTCACATAATTTTACTTAATTTTAACATGTGCTGTACTCTCCACATAGCTTAGTACCTGTAGTTGTATGGAGAACAGTGGATATTCAGACAAGTGGAGGAGACATGAATACTCACTGAATTGTATGAAAACCTGGTGGGCCCCAATTTCTCAGCCAAAGACAATCTGTTTATTATAAGAAATCAAACTGTACATTGTGTAAGTCAGGGGAGTACCACCTCTCATATTTTAGAGCAGAGCTGTGTCTGAAATGGTCTGGATAGAACCCATGATTGATACTCATTTTGGGGGTGGCTTACTGTAGTGTACATACTGTTTAGCAATCCTGATGGTCTTTTGAGAGATTACACGGAGTTCTGTTTGTTTAATGTGTTATGCCAAATGTGACATTCCACCACTAGTGTTTTGTGACACTATATCTTTGTATATTTATACAGTTGTCTGTTTCTGCCTACCATTTGTAGCAGCCAGTATATTGTTACCAAAGTACTAGAATTTATCCTGTCCATCAACATCAGTTTTGAGGAGACTGGGTTTAGGGAATCGTATATAATAATTTCATGGGCCTCTATGTGTTTTCAATATTTGTATTTGTTTATTGCTCAGAAATAATATATTACATGTTATTAACATAATGCATAAGCACAGAGAAGAAACGACACAAAGGGACATAGATCTAAAACGTTTTTTTATATTACTCTTCTGAATTGTTTTGTTCTTTGTCCACTTGGATACTTTTTACCCAATACTTTTAATACAGATTATATATTTAAGGTTTACAGAGATTACTTTAAAACAGTTATACTGTAAAATTCTATATCAATTTGAGACATGTCTGGTAATGTAGATTGAATATCCCTTTTCTTTTCTTCAGACACATTCTTTTTTTCCATTTGTAATGAGTGGGATATCAGAGAAAATTTCATCAAGAGAGATCACTGTAATATTATTATTTTATGTATGATCTCAGTGATTGGAATCATTGAAAAATGAAACTTTCAGACATCTGAATTATTTCAAAAGTTCTTTTTGATTTGTTTGATAAACTTAGCAGGCATAAAGTGCTGGACTAAATAGTTCATTTCTATGAAGGTAATTGTCAATTTTAAGTGGATTTCATCTGCCTCATGTATGTTACTGTGACCTGCCTCAGAATACTTCTGCTCTGCTGTAGATATGAGTGGATTATTTGTCATAAAATTCATTAGTGCTGGGGTCATTACTTGATTTTATTCTCAGAACACATGAATTGGAGTAAAATATACTGGAACAAATAATACAGCATCAACCACTGGACATATTATGTGTAGACCTGCGTTGAAATGAGGGTTATTTTATTGTCAGCATGCCAAGGCACTGTTGCAGCAAGTAGGGAGGAAAATAAAGGCAGAGTTTCTAACTAGATTTTTTAGGTTGTGGAAGATATATGGTAAGGTTTATTATACTACTCAGTGAGTACAGTTGGAGACCCAGAATTTATACTTGGGTGAACAAGAAAGGGATGGAAACACCTGTTTGCTATGTATTGCTGCGTTCCTTGCAAGTCTCAAGGTTACGTTGCAAACATTGCTACTGACTGGAAGACCTGCCTTCATTTATGTTGGCACTAAATAAATATTTCAACTTCTTAACACGGGTAGATTCTAAAGGGTTCTGACGATTGTGGATGACACACAGAATTACTGTGGTTTTGGACTTTTTCCATCGTCCAGAATTTTAGGTCATAGAGGACACGACGTTTCAGAAAATGGATCTGTTTTTGTCTTCAGGTGAGAAAGGAAGACACCTACTCAGTTGGGCCCCTTAGAAAGAGGTAATGCAGTGATTGAGATTAGCTCTTTCTAAGGGGCCCAACTGAGTAGGTGTCTTCCTTTCTTGCCTGAAGACGGAAACAGATCCATTTTCTGAAACGTCGTGTCCTCTGTTACCTAAAATTCTGGACGATGGAAAAGTCCAAAACCCCAGTAATTCTTAACACAGGTTTAAATTGTTAAACAAAAAGAAAAGCTGTATTATGAGCACACAGCATGGACACTTTTGGTGGTTTAGTATTGCTTTGTTCCATGTTCAGATCATGTGATTCACTGTTGCAGCTTTATTGGCTGCTGGATATAGAACACTCCAGTAGTATGCAACCAGCTGCAGTTCAAGTGTGACTTAGAACAAAACACATTCTGAAATCTCACACTTGCCACAGGTAAACCTGTGGACATATGTGGTACAACACATTACAGAGAATCAGAAAAGTGCATTATTTCAGTTTGTTATTGAGATATACTGTGGTTTCAGAAAGGCTGTTACATTTATAAAGTATGGGTGTAGAAGTAAATGTACAGTTGTATTAGATGGCATCAACATGGTAAATAATCAGTAACTAAGCAGTTTACAGCTTTGACAGACCTGTTAATGTGGTCACTTGCCAAGCAACAAATCAAACATGCACGTTGAAGAATTTTAACCTTTTGGAGACAGATTTATCCTAAATAATATTGTCACATAGTATGAGTGACTATAGATGGGGTTTGGATTGGTGACTAGATTTATTGACCACTTATACACTCAAGATTTGTGACTACACTTTACGAACACTGACATACACAGACTAGTGTCCTCAGTCTGTTACAGTCTCCAGTAGCCGTTTCCTGGCAGTGGATTGTAACACAGGACCTATAACAGTCTCACTGAATTACACACTCCAGATATCACACATAAAGTCTTCTCTTCACAGCCAGACCTTCAACTGAGCACTCTTGCAACTAATTAGTTGTCCCAAACCATCCTGGTTGTAATATCTCAGCATGGACCACACAGAAAACACTGTTTCTCTGTTGCTGTACCATTGTTGTGTTCATGTCTGTTGCTGCAGGAAAATGTTTACTGAGCCATTGTCTAGGAAGAGCTCTGGTATATTTGCTTAGCTTGCCGTCATTGCATAGTAATGGCTCTATATGCTATATACATATATTAAGTGTATACCTCACAGGAAGCACATTACATCTCTGCTGCAAAGGTCAGTCAGTTAATGCTGTTTAGGGAGGCAGTTGCTGTTTATTGTGAGAACCATATAAGATTCACAAATGCACTCTATGGGCAGAATGTAGAATTTTAGTATGTTAAAGCAGGTGATATGTATAGTAACCACTGGGCCTTAAAGGGTTAAACTACTTAAAAATACCATTGTAACCATGATGCATATGTGGAGAATTAATATTTTGGTTGGGATTTGTCTCTGACATTCTGTACACTTGTATGTGATTCCAGTTTTCTTTAATACCAATTGAATTAATTTTTTTTTTTCATATATAAGTAGCGTAAGAATTAACTGACTAACATCTAAGTTTGTAGTGTTTGACAGTATTGATAATGAAAATACTAGTTTTTGTACTGAAAATCTCTGTCTGTTGATAGATTTGCTTGGTTATGTGAACAAAAACTTGCAATGTGAGTTTTGATGTTTTCACGGCGATGACAATGAAGAAAGTCGTCTTCTGGGTTTAGGCACCGTGTATTCTTCTTATATTCATCTGAAGATGGAGGCGCTACGTTCCTCCGAAACATCGGCCAAAACGAAGAATACACGGTGCCTAAACCCAGAAGACGACTTACTTCAAAAACCTGCAATGTTTAAATATGGTTGAAGAATACTGTTTTCTGGTATGTGACACTGTTGTTAGGTACCTACCAAACTACACAGTAGCATTACATTCCTTAAGTAGGTATTCTTCAGTCACTTGTTCTGAAAACATCAAATCTCACATGAAAAAGGTTATTTCTTCTCTTTTGAATTTTTAATAAGTTGTTGTTACATAATATAAAGATATGGTATGTTTAGTAACATCTTGTCCTATAAATTTAGCAGTATAGTAAATTAATTCCACTTGATCAT